GCCGTGGCGAGGCTGGATCTACCATGTGGAATTGTTCCTTGTGTCAAACACACGGGGGAGATGAAAGCAGACGTTGTGCAGCCGAACGCTTTGATGTCACCCTGGCCAGCGCTTGGGCATGTGTCCTGCGAGTCTCCCTGTGGCTGTCGGGGAAAATCTGGCCAGGAAGGAATGTCAAGGATTGGATCGTTTCTCACTTTTCCTTCCGCTGGAAGCAGTACCAGCTCTGTGGGTGATTGTGAGGCCCTGACAGATGTGTGGCCGCCTCTGCCTCACAGCATTTGATGATGTGAATTAGAGCTGGACTTCAGGCCTGGCTGAACCAGGGGCTCACCTTTCATTCTCTTTTTCCATTCTGTTGGCTTCATCAGAAAGACTCTTTTTGCCCCTGTGGTCGAGGGGCCACCTGCAGCTCCAGGCTTAGGTCCTGAGCTGTGTTCCCATCAGGGGAGATGGCTGTTATTCACCACCCCTGCCCTGCCAGCATCTTGGGCCGAATCAGCCAGCATCGTGTGAATGATGCCACTGACCCCGGCCCAGTGTTTCTGAGACCCTGTTCAAGGTTGAGCAGGTGTCACACCCGCAGGGATGGTGTGGGAACCTGGACGGCACTGGCAGGTCGGGATGCCTTCCCTCTGCATCAAGTGGAGGCTGCCAGCACCACGCAAGCCCCCTCAGAAAGTGCGCAGAGCAAGTGTACGCTGCATGCTTGCTGACCACGGTTACTCTTGTTATTGTCACATTACGGAGTTGCTCAGCGTTGGTGTCCTTTCCTACGCCTTTCCTTCCCACTCTCTGCCTTCGGAAACAAGTGGGTGACAGTGTCTCGTTATGTGACCGCACTCGGTGGGTGACACCAGTTGGTCTGGGTGCTGGCAGGCTCCTGCTGCCTTGCCGATAGCTTCTCCTGCGTTTCTCCAGGTAGGTCTGCTCAGTTGATTTGTGCAGAGGCAACCCAGAAGCACTTGTGTTTGTGAGAACAGCAGGTGTTAGGATGCCCACATGTCCTGTTGGAAAGTGCCTGGGTTTAACGCCGATCTCTGGCCTCAAGCTTCCTGCTAATGCAGGCGCTGGGAGGTAGCAGGCTCTAGGGGTCGCATCCCTGCCACCCACGTGGAAGATCTGGATGGAATCCCTGGCCGCCGACTTCGGCCTCAACTCTGCCCCGGCGCTGCTGATGTTTACGAACTTTTAGAAAGTGAGCCAGTGGATAGGAACTGTTTAAATCTCTGCCTCTTAAAACAAAAAATTGAAAGCAAGCAAATGTGTGATCCTGTAGTGAGTGGTTCTCGCTGGTCAGGAGCACAACTCAGACTGCCGGGAAACTGGACTTGTTCCCCTCCCTCTTGAAGCCAGGGCTCTTTCACTTCCTTCCTGTCCTTGTGGTCTCAGCAGGTGCCTGAGAGCAAGCCCAGACAGAAGAGCTGCAGGTGCAGGGTGAGCGCTCTCAGGACTGCTGGGCTCCCAGCAGCTACCTGGGAAGGAGCTGAGCCTCATGGCCTCCACGCAGGGGGCTTGCTCAATGCACACTTACCCTTCTTCTGTTGAAACCGCTCCCGTTTGTACTTACAGTGAGGAAGAACACGGAACAGCCAGCTGCAAGTCCCAAGCGCTTGGGATTATTACGTTTGCTTGAACATTGGCTAAGACGTTTTATTCCCCCAACTGTATTTTGTAAAGCTCTAAGGTTTTTTTTTTCTCCTTTAGATATTTTCAGTTACTTTATTTACAAAGTGTCTTAACTGACTGGGTGCAGAACCCAGCAGTTACAGTGTGTCTAGCAAAGAGGAGAAAAGAAATGTTTCTTTTTGTGGAATGTAATATTAATCTGAATTCTGGTCAATGAAGTATTAATAGACTGCATATATGTGTGTGTATATAATATATATAACTATATATAGTTATACATGTATATATAGTTATTTATATGCACATACATATGCATATAAATATACACATACCCCATTCTGTAGTTTTTTGGTGTGCCATATTGATTGTTTCCTTTGCTGTGCAGAAGCTGCCTTAGTGATGTGAACGGCCCATTTGTCTATTTCTGCTTTTGTTTCCTGTGTGTTCAGGTCTGATCCGGAAAATTTTTGCCCATTCCATATCCTAAAGTGTTCTCTCTCTGTTTTCTGTCTTGCTTGGTTCTTCTGTTTTGAGTTGGCTCTTGTACATAATCAAGGACAGGGGTCCAGTTTCATTGTTCCGTGTGAGGTTTCCCAGTTCTTCCAGCCCTGTTTTTGAAAGGGCCGCTCTCTTTTCCCATGGCCATTTCTGAGCAACTTTGTCACAGATCCATTGACTGAAGATGTGGGTTTGCTTCCAGGGTCTCTTAAATGCTAGTCATGTGTGGGTTTGTTTGTATACCAATACCATATTGTTTTAATTACTGTAGCTTTGTGATAAAATTTTAAGGTCAGGTAGTATATTGCTTCCTGCTATGCTTTTTTGTTTCTTATAATTGCTTTGGCTCTTTGGTTTTTTTGTTGTGATTCTAAAAAAAATTTGATAGTTTTTGTTTTAAAGATGTGTGAGATTTTTGGTAGAGTGCATTGAATCTGTGAATCACTCTGGGCAGCATACACATTGAGATGATCTCTCTTCCCATGAACACGAGCTGTTTTTGCATTCTGTGTGTTCTCTTCAGCCTCTTTTGTCAGTGGTTTGTAGTTCTCGTTGTGGAGATCTTTCACATTTTTTGGTATTTATTGGTGATGCATTGCTTCCTTCATTTATTGTTCATACAATGCACTTTCAGCATAGAGCAGTGCTTCTGATTATTACTAATCTGATTATATTGATGTGTGTATACTGCCAATGTGCTTGTTCTCACAGTTTCTTGTTGGGGTTATTGGAATTTTCCGTATGTAAGATCCTGCCATCTGCAAACTGCAGCGGTTTGACTTCCCTCTTCCCGGTGTGGACAGCCTTTGCTTCTTCTTGCTTGCTTTAGTGGTCGAAGTGGGCAGCCTGCTAGCAACTTACAGAGAGAAGGCGGTCGGCTCCTCTGTTAGTGCAGTGTTAGCTGTTGGCGTGTGGCACATGGACTCATTTGTTCAGGAAGTGTTCTTGACAATCTGATCTGGCTGTGTCACCGATTGGAAATTAGCCACAGTATCAATAACACTTCCTGAATGTTGTGCCCATGGTCAGCATGCCACCACCCAGAGCTGAAGCCAGCCACAGTAGATTGGTGACCTTTCCAGCAAACCAATTGAGAAACCAGCGCCAGGGTTGCAGTTTTTGTTTCGTGGTGGTGAGGGTAAGCCATTTGAGCAGAACCTGCTCTCTCCGGCCTGTGGAGTGGTTCCTTTTCATGAGCTGGTGGGACAGTGAAGTGGAGCGTGCCTCCCTGATGGGTGGGAAGGGAACACTGCAGATGGATGGCTTTGGAGGCCTTCCCTGAGGCATGGCAGAAGGCCGCAGGGTGCTCTGGGAGCTGAGTGTAACATGCAGCTTGGGGATATTCTCAAAGCAATGTAGAGTGTGTTGGGGGTGTGGCTGGGTCCTTATCTTGGGGAGTGGTGACTGCTGGTCCCCGGGATACACAGAACCTTGTTCTGGTGTTAACTGGAGGATTGGTGGTGCACAAAGGCCTTGCACAGCTCAGGGGAGTGACCGAGGAACCCTGGAGGCCCTGGCCATTCTGGGCCTATTGGTCTTGTCTGCATCACTGCGTGGTTTCCCAACTTGTGTGTGCATCCCTGGGTGGGACGAGCAGTGAACAGCAGTACCAATGGAATCTCAAATGTGACTGCAAGCAAGCAGCGATGCTGCTGTGATTGGGTCAGAACTTGGAGAAGTTTCTCCTTGTTCTGATGTCAGGCCTCCCACAAGAAGGTCAGAAATTGGGTGTCTGTGGGCAGGGTATAATGAGACCTTCCTGACAGACACAATGTTAGTGGTTGGAGTAGCTGGAAAGTGTCTGACCTTAAGCTCCCTGAGGAGGTCTAGCAAGCACTGGTCCCCAGCATGTAACAGTTTCCAGCTGAGCCAAGGTATTGGGAGGACAGTGGCAGCCTGGGCCAGGGCTGGATGGGTTGGTTCTGCTGCTCACTGCTGCCCCCTACCTGTCACAGTCTGGCATGGACATGCCAAGTGTGTTTGAAAACAATAATTGTGGCTGCTGTGAGATGCAGCGTGTTATGGGGCTTGTTTACCTTTGCTTTGAGTTACACATTATGATTTATCATGGATTTATGATATGTCCTCATAGTACAGAAGACATAAAAGTAGAAGCCCAGGGTGGGGGGAATATGAAAAAGCAAACGACTTGAATTTTGGAGTGCAAACTTTTAAAGATGGTCTTTTTTAAAAAAGACTTATTTTATTTTTATTGGAAAGGTGGATATACAGAGAGAAGAGACAGAGAGGAAGATCTTCCCTCCCCAGGTGGCTGCAATGGCTGGAGCTGAGCCAATCTAAAGCCAGGAGCCTCTTCCGGGTCTCCCACGTGGTACAGGGTCCCAAGGCTTTGGGCCATCCTCGACTGCTTTCCCAGGCCACAGGCAGGGAGCTGGATGGGAAGCGGGGCCGCCGGGATTAGAACCGGCACCCATATGGGATCCCAGGCATGCAAGGCGAGGACCTTAACCACTGCGCCATCGTGCTGGGCCCTGAAGATGGTCTTAAAAAAATCTGTTGAATGGTGTTAGTCACAAAGATAATTACTGATTTGGTTTTGATATCAGACTACAGCATCCTGGGGAGGAAATGAGAGGGATCGTGTCCATGGTTGGAATCGGATGACATTAGCACGCATCTCGTCTTTTCTGACATGTGTCTGATACTCATGTTAACCAAAACGGAGGGGTTTTGAATAAGCCGTGGATTCAGGCTCTGCCATTTGTGCCCAGGGTGGACTTGGTTTGGCTTAGCTGTCTTGCTTCAGTTCTTCCCTTTATTATGGTTCCTGCTTGTTCTGCGTATCAGGTAAGTGAAGTGTGCCCCAGCATTTGTGTCCCTGTTGATGTGTGAACAATTCTTATTTTTAACAGGGACCTCCGAAACAATCTTATCAGTAGCATAGACCCGGGTGCCTTCTGGGGACTGTCTTCCCTGAAACGGCTGTAAGTATTTGCATCGCCTGCTGGGAGTCCGAACTGCTCCTTTGATAAGTTGCTCTTCGCGTAGCATGAAAGTAGAGTGGATGTGTCATTCTGTTGAGTGGCTCACACTGGTCAGGTCTCTGAAAGAACAGAGTGTTTGATATCATTAGCTACGTGCTTATTTGCATAGTTGTTGCTTTGTTTGGTTGTAGATGTTTGTGTCCCTTTTATTGTGTGATGCTGGCACTCTCTTAGGTTTACCAGTGCACTCTGTGGCTGGCTGTGACTCCACTGAAACTGCTGGTTGTAAATGCTGTGTAACATGGGGCATCTGTCCGATAATGACTTAACATTGCAGTTTGCATGTACGGTATACAAACCTGTATGTTTGTATGTGTGTGTATGTGTCTGTGTACGATGGTGAGAATGATGATTGTGTTAAAACCAAGATTGAATTTATTACCAGTAAAGCTAAGCGAATTCCTCAGCCCCGGGAGGTGCTCCTGTCCCGGGCCTACTCCTGAGCAGTACCCCTCCGCTGTGGCCCTGACGCTGGTCCTGTCTGCACGCGCTGGCATTGGTGCTCTGGGCCACTGGCCGTTGCCGGGCTCTGACCTCTCTGGAAGATTGCAAAAACAGTGTCATGGAAGGACCCATCTCTTGTAAAAGAAGGTAGAGAGATGAGGTTGGACTGAGATCAGGAATTTCAGGTTTCTCCGGCACAGTAGGAGGACCCTGTAGTCTTGAGTATGGGGTTGCCATGGTGAGGTTTGTGTTTCTCAAGGCAATAAGGAGAAGCTGCAGGAATGCAGACACCAGGGACACAAATGCAGACAGACATCATGGTCAGGCCACAGTACCATGGTTGTTTCCTTTTTTCTTACAGTCATCCTTGAAGCTGGTCCTTAGCTCCTTTTCCTCACTTTACAAGGAGAAACATCACGTTTACTTATTTAAGCTTTGTTATTACTTTCTCCCTCCTGCCAGGTGCCTGTGGCCTCTTGGGAGTGTCTGGTCTAAGAGCTTTGGCCGCAGACCTCGGGTCGGTCTGTCTTGTAGACTTGGGCTTACTTCTTCACTGGAACTTCTGTGCTGGGATCACTTGGTGCCCAGGCCTCCAAGCGTGAGAGTCATCTCCAGTGGGCGGCACAGATGCACGTGCTGGACCTAGCTTTAGCAGAATCTGTGAGGCCAAAAAGGGGGACCTTGGGTGCAGCCATTCCTCCTGCTAACTTGGAGCATGTCTGAATGTTTCCCTGCAGTGTTGTTTTTCTGGAGGAGTGCGACTCCCTACTGCCAGAGAGGGCCACTCTTTATTCCTTCCTTCTCATCTGCACTCACAACTGTTAGATTAATAATAATTGCCCTATTCTGAAGTAGAGGTTGAAGGTGATCTGAGTTTTAATAATAATAGAACACTTACATGAGGGTGTCCTAAGGATTGTTTGGAATGTCATGGGTTCCCCGTCAGGTTCTTTGTTCTTCTCAGTAAATAATTTCCCAAGTACTGCTCTCCAATAATAAACCAAGTTCTTGTTCGGTAACATGCAGTTGCTACTACTGTACCAGACATTGCCTTAGCATTTTTTCATTGCATTACACATTAAATAGTCTCTGGTGTTTTTGCCTAGGGAGGTAATTGCCATTTATAATGTTCTTCCCACTAGAAAACGTTCTGAATTCCAAAGAGCCGACTTGTAATTGAACTTGCAGCACATAGCTCGCGAGCTGAAAGGGCCCTGCGTGCACCCTGCGCATGCACCCTGCGAGGGCTGTGAAGAGACTCGGCAGCAGTAATGTTTGCTCACAGAGACAGACCCTCTGTCTGCTGGAGCCTTAAATCATTCATGCCAATTGCGCATCTTGCCTAACAGCGCCACGGAAAACGTGTCGTCAGGACCCCGTGTTTGTGCCTTTGGTTTTATAGGTAATTTGAATCAGGAAGATGAAGTGGTGTTCTGATGGATAAACTAGCAGAAGTAGGTGAAACCTAGACAGATTCAGTCTCTCTTTTGCTTTATCAACAAGTTCAAACTGATTTTAATCCAAAAGAAAGCCCATTATCAATACTTCAGTACCATTTTAAGTAGATATAGCTATAATGAAATTGTTTCCCAAAGAATTATTGGCAGTTACACCACTTAAAGCTCAAAATTGAGACAGGATAATGAATAAAGCTCAGAAATGCTTGTTTAAGCAACACTTCGCAAGATGATGCCTAATTTTCTTAAATGGTAAAACTCAGAGATAAAATGAAAATCAGCTGAAATGAAAAAGAAAGTCTCATATGATTAAATTGTTAGTGTAATATCCCAGAAGCCGGAGCTGGGAGCCCGAGCCGGGAGCAGAAGTGGTGGTAGGGACTCTCATTGCTTGAGATTCTTCTGTGCGGAGGTGCTGGGGAGAGGAAGAGGGGTGGACCTGCGAGACCCTGAATAGCAGGGTGACGTAGAGTGGCTATTGAGCTAAGGGATGTTTGAATTGAGTAGGTACTAGATTCCACAGCTATGTCCTTGCAGTTTGTAAGCAGACTAATACATTTTCCAGCCATTGACAAATTTGTAGTTTGGATTCTAACAGTCTGACTTTGAAAATGAATGGCTTCCACTGTTTTTTTTTTTTTTTTAAAGAGTCATTCAATGTGTGACTCAAAGAGGTATGCTCTTCTTAACAGGCCCTAGTGTTCCATAGCCCACGGGGCAGCTAACTTACACAAGGATGTATTTTGTGTTGCACAAAGAACTGAGCCGAGGGCAGGTGGACAAGTATTGTTTATCTTAATCATACATTAAAAAAATAAAGTCAAATAAAAAGCCAGCCAGTGAAGCAGGGTGGGTGGAGAGGGGTTCTGAAGTTGCAGAAAACTCAATCAAAGTGGGTTTTTTTTGAAGGTTTGGATTAGAGGTTTCTAATTCTTTCAAATTCAAAGTGTGATGAATTATTCAAAATGTAACAAATAAAAATGGAGATTCAGTGTTGTAGAATTTTCTGGCATGGGGTTTACCGAGTCCAGTGATAACAGCAATGAAAGACATGGCTTGCATTTCAAAGTTTCAGAACTTGTGAGTTTTTATCTCCTAACAACCTTTAAACCTGTGGAGGCCTCTGATTAAAAAATAAAATTACATTTGTTGTGCTTGATGTAAAGCAAAATAAGTGAAGGTGGAACAAAATATTAATTCACAATTCTTCATCTGTTGAAAAAAAGGCCGTAGATCGAGGGGAAGAACTATTTACAAAGCAGCATTTCCTAGGAAGTAGACATCAGAAATGAATGGGAACAAAATTGGGCCACTTCTTGGGTGATGGTTAAGTAATTCAGCTTGGAGACTAAGCGATCTATAAAAGCCAACCCAGTTGTTTTACTCAGTATTTTAGGAATGGGGTTAGAAATGTTGAAATTTCAAATGTTCTCGAGGAATTAAAGTTTCTTTCTTCAGGGAATTTGCCCTTTCCCAGGCGTGTGATCCTTGCTGGCCAAGGTGGGCCTCTGTTCTCCAGCCTACTGAGCTGTGTGGCCACCCGAGGAACTGGCTCGCAGACACGGCCATAGGCGTCATCCTGCCAGCTGGGCCTGGAGGAGTATGGAGGAGTCACGCGTGAGAAGTCGAGGCGTTGTCATGAGGCCACGTTCACTGTGCCACAACTGCGGGAAGCAGGATCCTTTTCTGTCCCCACGCTGTGCGTGTGTCACCTGCCTCAGGCCGATGCCTCAGAGAGGCCGGAAGCAGAGACGCTGTGTGTGGTTCCTGTGAGCGGATTTCTAGTGTGGGGTGTATGACGGCTTCGTTAACTAACCAAGGCAACTGGTTGATACTTTCCCTCTCCTCCTCCTCAGGGACCTGACAAACAACCGCATTGGCTGTCTGAACGCAGACATATTCCGAGGACTCACCAATCTGGTCAGGCTGTAAGTGCACCTTCTGTTTTCGGTTTTGTCCTGGCTCACGTCTGTCTGTTGTGGGTATCTGGGGAGTGAAGCAGTGTCACTTTTTCTCTGCCTTTAGCAAAATGTAAAAGTAAAAAAAAAAACCAAACATATCGCAAGTTGAGTTCAGTAGACCTAGCGGTCTGTGCCTTATTGCATTGTAATCCACACCAGTGATGTGCAGGGAGTGATAAGTTCCGGTCTAGGGATTGTTCTCTCAATAGTGAGTTTTAAATGATCTGAGTCCTGACACAGATCTCTCTGTCACTTCAAAACCTACAAGAAAATACACGTGGGAGCGTTGGGTCCATTCCACATGTATTTGTGAACACAGATGCTAGCTTTAATATTAAAGCAATTTCTGTAGGGGTTTTACAGCATCGACTGGCTGGCAGTCATCCGAGCAGTGTGATATCCAGGAAGTACAATACAGTTCACAGATCCCTTCCCTTCAGGGCTTGGGGGTTTCAGATTTTGGAATACTGGTGTGCGCAGAAGGAGATATCTTGAGGATGGGAACCAAATCCAGATGCAGGATTTGTTTCTGCTTCATATATACCTATTGTACATGGCAGTCCTTTTAATGATGTTTTGGCACGAAGTGAAGCTTCTTGGATTGAAATGTTTAGGATATGGGGACATTTTGAATTTCAGTTGTTTGGATTGGTGTTGTTCTGGCTACAGACCTCATCACACACGTACACACAAGATGTTTCATGCAGCAGAAAACACGCTTGTGCTGGCAGGTGTAATTGAAGCTTCATCGCTTTGGGGGCATTTCTTGGAGGAGGTAAAATGTGAGCCAATGGTTCAGATGATTTGCCGGTGTTTGGATCAGAAGGGAGAAGAAGCTGGACCAGCTCTGCGTGGAGGTGGAGCCGAGAGTCAGGCAAAGACCAGAGGAGTGGGAGTGAACCGAGAGTCAGGCAAAGACCAGAGGAGTGGGAGTGAAGCGAGCACGTAATCAGGCCTCTGGCCAGGCGACGTGGGCTGCGCTGCCCGCGGGGCAGGTCTTCATCAATCACGTGGGATCAGTAGACCCTCAGAGGGGCTGTGATAATTAATTACAGTTGAACTTAATTGTGGTTGTCTGCACAATCCAAGTATGGAAGAATTTTTGATAAATGAGCAGATAATTTTTAAAAATTTATTTAGAATAAATTCTGTTTGAGAATCATTAGAAACAAGGCTGATTCTTCACAATAGAGGGTTGGGGTGTATCTGTTTCTGTTGGAGTGTGTGAAAAGCAGACAGAAGTTTAGAACAAAGCCAGAACTGGAAGCTACGGAAGCATATTTGTGCAAAGTTGACATCGGCTCATATTTTAGAGATGAGTAACCTGGGAATAGGGTTTGGCGTGGGATGCTGGAACTAGGGCAGACGCTCTAGTAACCGCAAGGGCTGTCTGTTCCTGGTACTTCCAAGTATGTTCTTTTTGGTTCATTCACCTTGACTTTGACACAGCAGCTTGGTCAGGTCAGTTTTCTGTTGCTGCAGTGCCATATCCAAGACCAGGCAATTTATACAGGAAGGGTTTATCTTGGCTTGTGATTGTAGAGGCTGGGAAGTCCAGGATTAGGAGGTTGTCTCGAGAGAAACTTGTGTTACTTCCAAGCATATTGGAACAAGAGAAGGGGAAGAGGGAAGCGGGGACTAGACCATTCTCCCCAGGAGAGAGCCTGACTGCTTGCTGAGGGCCTGCCTCCGTCCCAGCAGAGGGCGCCCTCCCCACACAGCCACGTGGGCGCTCAGCATTCTGGGAGTTCCAGGGGAGGCATAGTGCATCCTGCCCATGGCAGAACCTACTGATCTACTGAGGAGGGGAAGGAACTTAAAATCAGCTTCTCCACTGTGGATGTTTGCAGAAAAGACTCATGGTCTCACAGTTTATAAGTAAAAAATTAATTAGCTATGAAGCTCTTCTCATGATGTGCAATTAATAAAATCAGTTCTATTTTAACTCATTTTTAGCTTGATTGCAAATGCTTTTTATTGTAGTACTTTCAATATATCTTGAAATTTTTGCTTTTTTAGTTTTGAAGATTTTTTGAAATTGGCAAAATTAGAAAATTTTAGCTTTTTTTTTTGCATAGGAATAGCTTCCACTGAAAAAGAGACTGAAATCTGATTTCATTGGGTTTAGTTGTGAATTTCTACTTTTGACCTCAGGACCTGACCCATGGCTAAGTGGGTTTTACGCAAAAAAGTGTTTGATGCAGGACTTATGATTTACATAAGCTGTTGTTTTATTTCTTTCCTTTTATCCACCCCCTAAAAATCAAATGTTGCATGCTCTACAAAATGGGTGTCTATTACATTTTTACTAATTAATTCCTGCCTGTTGGGTCATAGTCATATTGAATCCAAGGGAATCATTACATGACGTACAAGTAAAAGGACCAGACTTGTTGCGTTGAGACTTGATTGATATCATCATGTAACCCATGGGATGGAAGATATTTAAAATGGATTGTATGGCTGTCTTAGATTCTCAGGGATCCAGTAAGGCATGATGGTTACTCTAACTCAGTTTTTAACAGTTCTCATGTTAATATGCACATGCAAAGACAACAGCGGTAGATTTTTTGTGACTTTTAACTGCAGGAGTCTTTGGCACACACAGCAGTATACTTGGCTTATCTTTTCAAGATCTGTTTTTGTCCTCGTATGGTCATTTGGGTTGAGAGAGGTGACAGATCGAGAGCTGCCGATCTGGAAGCATGGGGAAAATGTTCTGTCTGGGCTGCTCCTGCTCTCGGATCGCTGAGCTCTGCCAGCCGGGTCATTGCTGGTTGCAGAAACTGGTAGCAGTTTGTATTTCAGAAGTGGAGAACAGCATATTCTTAATCCTGCAGGATAGTCTGGTAAGTCATGGGGCTTGTCCTACGTCTTAGCTTAGTCATTAGCACCCTTAAAGCTTCCTCGCACCCCAAAGAGAAGCCCCACAACAGAAGTCAGCCCGGAGTGGATCCTTGTAGGAGCTCTTTCCCCCGCTGGCCCTTCAGGGCGACTCTTGGGGTCTCCCTGGACCCGCAGACCGTGTGTGGACTTGGCCCCTTAGCCAAGGCAGATGGACTTCGCGGCCCCTCGGGCCCTGGTGAGACCTTGGCAGATAATGTGCAGCATTCTCACTCAGACTCCTCATCATTTTGAAACAAGTCTTGACTTTGGACAGTTCAGGTTAAAATTGAGATAAACATGTAAGAGGCCTTTCTCCAAATGTGCCAGAGGTCTCTGCGAACGTGGGAAGTTGTAAAATGGATGCATTCTGTGTATTGGTCTTTGTTTTCCTGTGGTAACACCCCTGACCACGCCCTGCAGTGTGCCGGTCCTCCTGAACTCCGCCTGCTCTCCTCCTGCTGCTGTAGAAGTGGATGGCCGACTGTAGAAACAACACGGTGCTTCGGCCCTTCACTTAGGAGTCAGGCAGTCAGAAAACCAAAAGCATTCCTTTTAAAAAATGAATTGTGATCATTGAAGACCTTATATCCTTAATATTTCTCTATGAAATATATCTGAACAATATTTATAGCTTCCCTTATAGGTACTTTGCCTATACAAAAGATTCTGCATATATTAAAGTTTTTATGAAGAAACTTATAAAAAATTATGGACTCTATAGAGCAATAAAGCCACGCACAGGTGAAGGAAGAGATGTATTCGTCTCCATCACATGTCATTATTCTGAGACAGCCTGTATGGATTCCCCAAGTGTGTCTCCTTTATAAGCAGCTGGGGAATGTATTTAACTGTAGTCATGGAAAGCTACCCAGTACAACAACATTTACATTGTATTGGGTGTGACAGGATTACCTTTGGAAGGGTGTGCATAATAAAATAGAAACACTGTATCATTTTATGTGAGGGGTTAGAGCATCCTCATGTTTGGCCATCTGCTGTGGTCAGGATGTCCTGGAGCCAATCCTCCAGGAGTGTGTATGCAGACCATACAGCATAGGACAGCACTTTCAGGAGTGGAAAGGTGTTTGTTCACCAAGTTAAGCAAACATTCACGAGACAATAAGTAAAAATAGGAAGGGGTGGAGGTAGGGTAGGGTGGATTCGAGATATAGGAATAGTGGCTTTGCTGTTGCTGAGAGAGAGAGCGAGCTAGTACTTAAGGCTGGAGTGTGATTCCAGCATTTTAGTATATGTAATATATGTGTCATTTGTGTGGCCCTCAGACTCGAGCACATTTGGTTGGTATTCTGCCAGGTGTGCAGGCCCGGCAGTCTCTTCTAGCATGGGGGGAGAACTGGGATTTACTGGGAGGATGGCACACTCCTTACCGGTGTGGTTTCTTCCCTTCTGATTTTCCACGGAAGTATCTCATAATACACGTAAGAATAACGTTCATGTTAAGCGGCAATTTTTTGCTCATATTTACATCCTAATTTGTAGGAAAAAATTTTCTTTTTACAACTCAGAAACATTGAAGAAAAACCAGTGCAAGCTCATCTTACGAGGAATGTGCGTGCATTGTGGCCCTGTTTTAACACTGACACCCAAAGCCAGTCTTGAGTTAGTGGCATGCTCCAACCTTGTCTTCCCAGCTTGTTTTTTTATGGTTCCAGTAGTTGCATAATGATACAATTACAATGATAATTGTATAGCTTCATAGCTATTGGATAGCTTCGTAGCAATGCAGTTGCTCATTTTAAGTGTAGCTAACTCTTTCAAAGATAAATGGCAGGGTATCTGATTGCTGTGTCCTTTTTAAAACCCATTTTGATACCCATTCTCATAGGTTAACCAAGAAAAGGGCATCTCTCTTTCATTATTGTTTTGATTTGCAAATATGTTGGTTTTGTGTGTGTGTGTGTGTGTGTGTGTGTGTGTGTGTCAGTGTCAGGTTCATAGGCAATTCTCCTATGAGGTTTAGAAGGTTTTTTTTTTTTTAAATTAAAAGAACAAAAGGGGGCAGAGGGTGACTGTGAAACATTTATTAACATGGTGATACGCCACTGAAGATCCTTTTATACTGATTGGAAAAGGGCTGATGATTCTGTGCGCATGAGTCATCCCACCCAGGATGTACAGGTGGCTGCAGGTGCAGCAAACACAGCTAACCTCCCAGCTTGTTTTCTGTCCTTTTCTTACTGATGTCCATCTACCCATCATCGCTACCTCCCACACTTGAAGGGTTCAGAACCCAAAGGGGAGATTTCCTGCCTCCCCTCCGCTGGGCTGCAACCCCAGAAGAAGTCAAGTTTTGCGTTGGTTGCTGCGTGCTGCCATTTTCCTGCTAGTCTCAGCCTTAGAAGCCTCCTGCAAGGGCTGGGATGTGTCCTGAACAAACTGTGTGGTCAGGCCCCTCCTATCTCCCAGCATGAGAGCAGCAGCCAGAGGCCCTCCTCTGCCTGGAGGAGATGGGAAGGAATCCTGTCACTTGTAGCAGGGAGTCTTCTGTCTTTGATTCATGCAAAATACTGCGAGATTTAGCTTGCTTATGAAAGGCTTCCCACACAAGGGGAAAACAGAGAGGACAAGATTAAGGTTGCATTATGGCCTCTTTCTTCTTTTAAACCCCACACTCCTTCCATTCTGTTCATGCTTTTCACTCCGTTACAGTGTGCTGCCACCACCAAGCGTTGGCATCCTCTGCTTTCTCTTATTTGAGAAGTTCTAATTTCCTACTGGTTCTTTAGTTTTTAAAGTGTTCACCGAGTGAGCACCTGACAGTAACTCTAGTGGAATTCAGTAAGGTAACTTTTAGGTTTACCTGGCAGTCTAGTCCAGCTGTATTTTAAATTTTCATTCATTTGTTTGAGAGACAGACATCTGCAATGTTCAGGGCTGTGTCACTCTGAACTCACACACGCCAGAACCTCAGCTCAGGTCTGCCATTTGTATGGCAGGGGCTCGTCTGCTTGAGCCATCACTGCTGCCTTTCTGCATTTGTGAGCAGGAAGTTGGAGTGAAGAATGGAGTCAGGACTCAGTTCCAGGCATGCTGATACGATATTCAGTATCCCAACCTAAGTCTTAACTGGTTATGTTCCATTATCCTTTATGTAGGATTCCTAAAACTGAGCAACAAACACATCGGTTATGGTAGTCTTAAAACAAATATGTCACTGAAATATTTGTCACATTAAGATTTGGGACTTTTAAAATTAGGCTGCAAATTGGGCAACCTGGAACCCTGCTTATTCCATGGAAGCCTTTGGAAATCACTCTTCACCTGCTGTTCATCCTCTCAGCAGGCATCTCTCTAACAGGTCTGCAGACCCTTCCCCAGGCAATCTGCAGCCCCTGCACCGCGTGTCAGAGGAACATGCCTGGGGTTTGGCGGTATGTCCTAGCAACTGTGCTGACACACCGGTATCATTAACACAGTTTTGGCATTAATCAGTCCCAGAATGGATTCCAGCTGTTGGTTGTTTCTTTCCCAGATGTGTTATCAGTTGTCTAGGTGCAAGGCAGCCTAGGCAGTCGTCTATAGCTGGGGGACAGTATTTTTTAAAAGTGACTTTTTTTTCCCATTTTCCAGAAACCTTTCAGGAAATTTGTTTTCTTCGTTATCTCAAGGAACTTTCGATTATCTTGGCTCATTGCGGTCTCTGTAAGTACGAGTTATTGTTGGTATTTTGATGAACAGATTTGTTAAGGACATTCGCTGCATGGTTGTGAATCTGTGAAAGTTTGAATCTTGCTTGAGAGATCGCTCTCACACTGGAAAACATCGAATAAATCTTAATAGCACGTTTTTATACCAAGCAGTCCTTTCCTCCTTAGAATGTTATGTCACTCTAATCTATATTTAGAATAAATAGATTGGTAATTGTTTCTGTTGTGCTTTGTTTTCAAATCAGAAAGTGTTGGTGTTTGACTAATTAAATCCCCAAAGGATAAAATGTCCCTCCTGATGAGAAATTCATAGTTAATAATATTCTAGACATCTGAGATTTAGTTTTATCCTGTAATCCCTGCTTCAAACTGAATCCCAGGCTTCAAATGATATTTCTAGGGATGTTTATTGCAAATGCCTTCTGTTTCATGCAATGGTTTTCAAGTCTTCATTGTATGTAGCTGAGGGGATTGAGTGTCCCCCTTTTTGCAGGGAAGCCCCCTCTGCCTGATGCCTGCTCCCTCCCCGCCCTGCCTTCCTCTGCACCTGTCAGTTTCCTCTGCTCTAGTCTAAGAGCTCATGCACATGAGCTCACGGCGTCCCATTCCATCTCTGTTTTTAGTGGGTGCTGTTAGGGAATTACAGATGCTGCTGCATGGCGGTCACTCAGGCATTTTACAGTTTTCCCCTTTGCTGTTCACCATCTTATCCTTTTCCCCTCTTTGCCTCTCCTGTGCCCTCCCCTCTGCTGGCATTGCACTGATGTACTGTTAGAAACATGTACAATATGCTCACTCTTGGCATTCTGCTGATTTCTTTCTATAGAACCTACTATATCCTTTTTTGGTTCTATTTATATTTTGCTCCATTTTTATAGTATCTCCCATGTGGACCTGTGCAGTGTCTTGAATTTATTTTTATGAGCTGCACTTGCTGAGATGTGTTGAAATATGAATAGTCAGTACTTAAAGCAACAAAGGATGGAAGAAATTATTGTGTGTATATCTAATCTCTGTACATCTTTGTTTGTCTCTTGTGTCCAAGAGCCAAATTATAAAACTTTCTGCCACAACTAAAATGAATTTTTATTTCCTTGCCTAATAAATGATACTCTTTGTCCTTTTGATTTGTTGATTTGTCTATTTCCTTTAAATTTGTGAGTGTTTACAGTGTCATTGGATGCAGAGGAGAAAGATGTCAGGACATTGCCCTCTAGTCATATATATAGAACAGTCCAGTATTGGTGTTTTCTCATTGTCCAAATCAACAAAGTATTTGCTGTTATTTGGCCCTGGACCATATCCATGAAGCGGACAAGCTAGGGAAGACTTAAACATTCTTTGTCAAGCTGTGTGCTTCTTGTTGATGAAGGATGGGAGCTTTGTGTTCTGGAATCCCGGGATAAGGAACTTTTTACACCGGGGAGGGGCTTCTGACAAATAGTTTTTATTTCTATACCGACTTGGAAAACTGAGTGCCAGTGTCACAGGGGAAACAGGGCTGGGGGCCAGCACTCTGTAAGACAAGTTACTGGAAAGGAGACCGTCAGGGTGGGGTGGACAGTGTTGTGCTTGCCTTCAAAAGGGGCAGCGAATACAAGCAAATGGGCCATTGAATTGTATTCACTCTAGTCTCTAACGTGTGTGTGTTTGTTAACAGAGAGTTTCAGACTGAGTATCTTTTGTGTGATTGTAACATACTGTGGATGCACCGCTGGGTAAAGGAGAGGAACATCACTGTGCGGGACACCAGGTGTGTTTATCCTAAGGCCCTGCAGGCCCAGCCAGTCACAGGTGTGAGACAGGAGCTGTTGACATGCGGTAAGGATGAAAACAACGCGGAGAAAGTATTTGCCGGATTGTGACTTGTTACTGTGCTTTTCTTGGCAAGCTGCAACGATCTGATGGAACTGAGTGGAGATGCAGTCATTAATCTTAGTGGATTTGATAATATTTAGTTTATCCTAATAATAAAGCCAGGTGGATGAAAAAAAAAAAGCCTTGTTGTTTCTGTTGGTCTTGAAGATAGCTGTTTTTAGGTTCTGAACAGCTTTCTTGATGAAATTCAGTTTCTGGCAGGTGAAGAGAAAGGGGAGTGTACTTCCTAAGTGTCTGTTACAGCTAGGATCCTGGGACAACATTCAGATCTCTGTCCTGGCTCAGGGCATGCGTTATGCAGGGAAGCTAGACTTGAAGGGGAATAGCTGGGCTTGAACCCGCACTCCAGTGTGGAATGTGAACCTCCTGAGCAGTGACTTCCAACTGGCTGTGCCTGCCATATCAACATCGTTACTGTTTCAATGATAAAATCTGCTCTTTAAGAGAAAATAAAAGAGTTGTGGACTGCAACATGGAGTTCCATAAAGAGCAAATAAAAAAGGGCCATGTTTACATTCTTAGCACTCAAAGATAACTAATAGGCCATTGTGTATTATCTTCAGCATCTTCTTTCCTGTTTTAACAAAAAATATTGCTGCACAACTAACGTTGGAATAATGTAAACTTATGCACACCAATCTATTGTGTACATGTAGCCATAATTTAACAGCTTATTAGTAATGCAGAATTACCTTGTTATAATTCTTCCATAAAGTTGTGATTAATTTATTTGTGTGTATTTTATTGTATTTGCTGTTATTCTTTAGAATATTCTACTAAAACAGTTGTGTGTTAGACAAATGAACTAAATGTTTTAAAAGTTTTAATGACATTTGTGGAGCTTTTTTACATATATGGTGAAAATTTTTCCCTTTAATTTTTTAACTGGAAGGAAAAATGTCATCATTTATTTAAGATTTCAGGGTCCTGCATGATAGCCGAGTGGCTAAATCCTTGCCTTGCATGCGCTGGCTTATGTCCTGGATGCTTCACTTCCCATCCAGCTCCCTGCATGGTGCCTGGGAAAGCAACAGAGGATGGTCCGAAAGCCTTGGGACTTGTACTGGCTTGGAGACCCGGAAGAAGCTCCTGGCTCCTGACTTTGGATTGTCTCAGCTCCAGCTATTGTGGCTACTTGGAGAGTGAACTAGTGGACAAAAGATATTTCTCTCTGTAAATCTGGCTTTCCAATTAAAAAAAATATATAAATAAATAAATAGAAAGATCTTACTCAGAATTAGTATCAGAGAGAGAGTGCATGAGATTGTGTTTTGTTGGTTAGTTCACTTCCCATAGGAGCTGGGGCTGGGCTTGGCTGCACTGAACTCAGGAGCAGTGAGCCTCATCCCGGTCTCCCACAGATGCAGGGGCTCCAGCACTGGGGCCATCTTTTGCTGCTTTCCCAGGCATGTTAGTAGGGACTTGGATCAGAGGTAGAACAGCCCTTGTGGGTTGACAGCATCACCAATTGTGGCTTAATCTGTTAATCTGTAGGACTAAATTTTATGTCTACACATTAGATTTACAACCAGATGCCAGTGTTTGAATTTAAAGGAGTAAAGTCTCCAAAATGTATTTTAAGTTTGTAAATATCTCTGTGGCCATCTGACAGCTTTATTAAACCATGATAAAGGAATAGCTTGGAAGATCTGTGCTGAGTGTGATGTGGTTCGGCTCCACTCATACCTGTTTGTGAAGTTCTCTGGTTGCCTTGTTGGTGCTGGCATGAGAATACTGGGTTCTCTGAAGGATTTATTTTTCTCTCCTTGTAATTTCACTTAGAGTTTCTGTAGCTTTGATGTAGTCTGCAGGGTGGAATACGGCGTTGTGTTTGCTGGTGGACTCTGTTTTCCCTTGCAGATCCTCCCCTGGAGCTGCCCTCTTTCTATATGAGTCCGTCGCATCGGCAGGTCGTGTTTGAAGGAGACAGCCTTCCCTTCCAGTGCATGGCTTCCTACATTGACCAGGACATGCAGGTGCTGTGGTACCAGGATGGGCGGATAGTGGAAACGGATGAATCTCAAGGCATCTTTGTTGAGAAGAACATGATCCACAACTGCTCCTTGATTGCAAGGTGGGCTTTCTTAGGTGTAGACTTGTTTCTGAGCATTCCCTTTGTCCTTCAGGAGTTGTCATGCCTAGCTGCAATGTGAGTTAATAGTTTTAAATAAAGATAATTGAAATGTAACTATTTATTTTAAAGTCAATTTATTTAGCTGGAAGGTGAATTAATGTTTTATTTATTTAAAAATGCAGGCAATTCATATTTCTTTTAGTCATCATTCTCAAACAGTTGAGGAAGGAAAATCATGTATGAAAAGAAAATACTAAAGAAAAGGAAGAAGTTAAGTTGGTAAATCTGAACTATAAGCTTCTTAGTTGTTTTAGTAATGAAAAATTTAACTCAAATGATCTTGTTAAAATAAAAACAAAAATAAAAAAGGTAACATTTATATGATAGTATCACTCTCCAACTATTTTTGCAAAATATTTGCCTGTAGACACTGAATTTCCTTGTCCTTTCTTAAGTCCATTCTTCTCCAGTCATCACATTGCTAAGAAGCTGAGGGCTCTCTGAACTGATGTTGCCTTTTGGAAGTTTCTCATTTCAGAATTACTGCATATTTATTAAGATGGCTGCTTTCATTTGTGTCTTCTGATGTTTAGAGTAGGCAATTTTAAATCTTTGCTTGCTAAGTCCAGCTTCTGGGTCAAGTTGGAGGTCATCTGTGCTGAGTCCTTTTTTTTTGAATGTGGTCTGCATGTTTGCTTTTGTTAATTTTTATTCATTTGTGTATTGACATTGAACTTTAACTTGGACATTCTGATGATCTGCTGGAAAGTTGGGGAAGTATGTTGTATGGGCCAAGGCCAACTCACTGGAACCATTAACTAAGAATAACTAATTCCATTTCAGATGGATTTATAAATACTTACATAGTATCCTTTGTGATGCTTCTCAGCCAATAAAGTCTAAAATGTTTACTGTCTGGTCCTTGAAGAACACTTTTGCTGACCCCTGACTCTAAATTGGCTTCTAGTCCTTGAAAGAGAACTGATCCGTATTTCTTCAGGTTGGATACCGTGGCTGAACTCAAAGTCATAGCTGGATTCTCTGTTCGATGACCGTTGAAATCACAGTGTCTTCCCTCCCTGTATGGTTCCTGGGTCAGTAAGAGACCTTTCAGCTAGGCTTCTCCTACCTCTTTCTTCCAGGTTTTCAAAACTTTTCGTAGGTAAAAGCTGTCAGAAATCTTTTCTGTATTCCTCTGTGCCAGTCCTTCCGTTCTGCTGATAGTTCTGCTGTAGTTTCTACCTGCTTTTATTCACTTTTCACATGGTCAAACAATTGCACTTTGTAATTTTCCCATACTTTGTTAATTGTGGGAAGGATGGTTTATATGAGCTCCTTGGCCATTACTGGAAACAGATTCCCTCAATAATGGATAAAACTATTATAGTCAGCATAACTTTTCATACTGACTGCACTGTGATGATATTCCAATTGCATATATATGTATTTCAAGATTCACCAGATTGAACACTATAAAGTGTCAGAGACCAGCTCCTGCTGACTGAGAGCTTGCTAAAGATGCATGGATCAGGGAGATGATAAGAAGAAGAGATAAGGCAGGGACCACTATGGCTTGATGCTCATAATGGACAACTCAGAAAAGTTGCCTTCTTTATAGACAAATCATCACAAGCTTTTGCACAATATTCAATTGTTTCATTTTTACTTCATGGTTAAGAGAATACAAAAAACAATCCTAAGGAAAATATTTTCAACAAAACATTACTCATTGAAACCAGCAGTCACCTGGCTAAAGCCAGGAACTCCACAGTTGACAGCGCATGTGGTTACATAGTGACAAGTGGTTTACTTATACTCAAAATCAATTTTTACTAAACACAAACTATCTAATATTGCTTGAAATATTAAGAGTACAGAATTAAAAGATCATAAATGAAAGGATTTTATAAAAGCATATAACATAGATTCTTTGCTAAATCTTATGATCAATCATGCATTAATTACCATCACCTTCACATAGTGCTGATTCAATTGTTTTTTGTCCTTTTGTTAAAGGGCAGTGAAAGGGATCAAGGCAATTCAGCCAATCTACAAACAGAGGGCTTTTACAAGAAACTTTCTTTTATCTTTATAAACTGTTTTCTTTCCCTAAATATAAGTGCCAATATAAGATAGAGATTTTAAATCATTTTGAGGGGGTTCACATTTGTTTCCCTTTAGAAGATGCCCGATACACTTTTGCTTTCTGTGGTGAGAAACGAAAATGTATCATATCACGTGTTGTAACAGTTCGAGGTACATGGTAAACAAACTCTTTGTACCTCCATGATTACCATCTGTTCCAAGATATTATCAAGCCATTTCTTAAGGAAAACATTAATTATGTTAGGGCAAACTTCAGGACAAAAGTGGGCACATAACAAAATATTTGGAAACATTGTGGGCTCAGTTGTACTATTGTATACTTTTAGCTGTGTGTCATAGCCTTACGTTACTATAGGTGTTTTTATCATGACATGATTGATCGATTTGAGGTGTCATATCAGTTACAGGAATCACTTTACATTAGAAAAACAGCAACACCACCTTCAGGAGAATTCTATGAAACATCAGAGAGGTGACTGAGTGTCCATACAATGTGGTGAGGCAGCAATGAGGTGACCAGAGACATTCTGCTGGGCCTTGCCTGCAGCCAGAAACTCCTCGCAGCCTTGCTAACTGAGGAGCAGTGCTCATGACACACCCATGGCATCTGACCCAACTGCACGGCTCCCCACAATAAAGTTTATGTTAGAAAGAAAATAGTTGACATATAGCATCCAAGCTTTAAAACAATTTGATTATTTTGAGAATTCTTAAGCTGTGTAACTATAAAGTAAGTAGATTTATATGTCTATTTCTGCAGTTCTAACTTAAGCTGTTCTAAATTCTTGCAGTATAAAAAACTTACTTCTAAGGCTCACAAGTTAGCTTAGTGTTTTTTTGGGTTGAGACATTTAAGTTGAGTGAAAATTGTTCATGTAAGACTCAGAAGTCCTTTAAGCAGAGTTTGCCTTAGGATAGTCAAAAAATTGTAAAGGATGAAAGCAAATCATCTTTGGCTTGGGTAATGTGACATGCTGATTGACTGGTTTTTGGTATTCTCATGTCATTGATGTTTCATCAGTAAGTGCCACTGGTTGCAGTTTTCTCACAGGTGAAGTTGAAATGACTTCTTTTTCCTTTGGACTTCAAGCTGTTACCTTGCAGACTCCTGGAAATTTGATTCTAGTGTTTACTTGTAGAGAACTGAAGATCTTGTAGAATTTGTACCAAGAAGGTGCTTGTGGAATGCAGCGGGAATGTGATTCTCAGCTGGAAAACCACAGTACCTCAGGGCACTAAGTGGATATTGCAAGGGATGTGTTTCAGTCAGCATGTGGTGGAGACCATGTAGCGACCAGAGCCAGTAGGTCATAGCTTGTATGTGTCAGGTTGTGCTTGCTGCATCACCTTTGTGGGTGTCTGACCTCAAGAAGTGAGGTTTGGGCCTTTACTGTGATCCCAAGCAAGTACTCTGTGGTATTCTCTGGAAAGGGAAATGATGGCGTCTTCCTTTGACCTCAGTCTGAAGTTTGAAAATTGTCTAAGTATCCAACAAGGCACCCACATCCCTTTAGGAAGCAGTTGTTATTCACGAGTAAAATTAAAATTTGTTTCAAATGTGTAGATCTTATTTCAAATGCTTTTCAAGTTACTAAGGATAAGGATACCCAGTTTTGGGATTTTATTTAATAATCAGAATGGCATAAAGGTGATTTTTTTTTTTTTTGGATTAGGATCATCATGGAAAAATTGAAGACTCTGTAACTGAGACATTTGAGAACTCTGGATTAAGAGAGGCTTTTCAATGCCAAAATGTTATAATCTTTTTTTGCTAGTTCAGTAGAACCACATACAGTAGAGTCCATGATAGATTTTCAGCTTATTTAATGTCAAGCTCTTGTTTTTCCTTTGGTCATTTCATTTTGAAAGTCATGACTGTGGTGTATTAATGTATTTTTCTAGCTTATTTAGGAAAGATAATACACATTTCCTGCCATGGTGCAGGATGCATCAAAGCTGCTGGCTTGATTGGGTCCTCTTCCGTGGCCATAATGATTTAAGACACTGAACAAATGTGTGTTAACTTGAAGACATACTTGTGTAAATTAATTTGGATGAAACATGCTTTATATCTAATTATTTCTTATCATTTATGTCTACATAACTGCAAAGCATAGTGGGTCATGGGGAGATATAAAAGTTAATTGAAGGTTCTGACATTTGTTCCTTAATTAATAGATTGTCTGCTCAAGAATTATGACTTCATCTTGAATGGGAAATTTACTGTCAGTAACTTAGAAATATAGCTATTTCATAAATTAAAATATGCCTTTCAGTAGAGAACTATTTTTGCGATAGCACGACTTATTTCCATTATAATCACTTTCACATGGTATTTTGCTCTAATTTTTTTCTTTATTATGTACTTCTTCCTGCTCTTCTTGTATTGTCATGACTGAATATGTTTTCTTAGAACTTGTAGGCAGGTGACTATGACTTGGGAACTTAGCTTTGGCTAAAGGATGCACCATGAAGTTTCTGCCTTGAGTACTTCCTGTACCCTGTCTAGAAGGAGAATTGTCATTTGTTATGTTCCCTTACACCTCACTTGTACTTGCTGTGTTCTTTTCATTGAAGTGGGAGGGAATGGTCAGTGTTACTCATTTCTGTGTAGTGATTACTTGGCCCACAGTGGATGTTCATGGATTATTTGCTGATTGAGTGATTCAGGCCTGTACGTGGTAGTTGCCTTTTAGCCTAATCATATTTTCTCTCTCTTAAAATCTTTCTTCATGCAGTGCCCTAACCATTTCTAATATTCAGGCTGGATCTACTGGAAATTGGGGCTGTCATGTCCAGACCAAGCGTGGCAACAATACAAGAACTGTGGATATCGTGGTATTGGAAAGCTCTGCACAGTACTGTCCTCCGGAGAGGGTGGTCAACAATAAAGGCGACTTCAGGTCAGCACTGTGTGAAGATTCACTGAGAAATACTGTGGTTTCTCCAAAGTTTAAACTCTGTGAGAGCTGCTAACTGCTACCTTAAACTCTGTGTACTATCATTTCCTTTAACGCGTCTTTAATGTTGTTATTTACTTAGTGTTCTTTATGGTCAGAGATTTTAATGACTTTATAGTTGATATAAAAAAAGAATATATTGCTGCTTTGAACAATAAATATTGTTTCATCCCTGGTTTGCATCATCTCTGAAGATACTTCGGCTAATTACTAGCTGCAGCTCCAGTGTTTTTATTATTATTGTTTTAAAGATTTGTTTGTTTATTTGAAAGTTATACGTAAAGAAACAGGGATAGAGAGAGATCTCCATCTACTGGTTCACTTTCCTTGTGGCCACCGCAGCTGGGATGAGGCCAGGCCCTCAGCAGGGAGCTGGAGATCCGTTCGGGTTTCCCACGTGGTTGTCACGGCCCAAGCAGCTGGGCGCCTTAGCTGCTTTGCTCAGGCTGTTAGCTGGGTTAGAGGTGACTTGGCTAGGAAAGGAATTAGCATTCATATAGGATGCTGTTGTCACAGGTGGTAGTTTGACCTTCTACACCACAGTGATGGCTCCCTAACTCTAGTCTTTTAGTGAGGAAATTCTTTGGGATTGATTTTTCAAATTCAAGGTGGATCAGTAATAACATCCGTAGCAAAGGTAACTTCTTCATTACTTTTTCTTGTCTTGTTTTGTTTTGACATTTTTAAAAATAAAATATTCCTGACATAAGCATATGGAAACAGCATTGCCTATATATGTATGTATTTATGCTTGTTAAAATTAATCTGTAGTATTTATGTCACATACTTTAAGGTGAAATACATAAAATTTGAATCAACATCTCTTTCAAGCCTATTATGTTTTTGGTTTATGCTAGATTTTATTTAACTCATAGTTTTTGAGTGGTTTTCATTGTTAAAATTAGAAGAAAAATTGAAATACTCAGCTAGTGAATGAATTATTTATCCTTTGACACTCCTTCAGCTATTATGTACTTAAACTCTCACTGCATTAATAAGGTTTAGTTTCGTGTTGCTTGATCTATTACGCAGTTTTTAGTAATCAGTTCTATTTTAGGATGACTGATACTGTAATGTAGTACTCCCTGTATTATGTGTGAACTGCGGCTTACATTAAATGTGTTTCATTTACTTCCCAGTTTGGGAGAAGCAGGGCTTCGGTAGCAGCGTCTTTTCCCCACTTAGTGTTGAGGGTTCATGGCAGTGGAGCTGTGTAGTCACTGTGGTTGGGATAAGCCAAGGTCAGAGATTGGCAGGGACACGTAGGGCTCAGCATGGGGTTATACTCACAGCTAAGACACATTGCTTCCATGCCCATAGAATCCACTGCTCTGCCAGAGCAAAAAGGCAGCGGCCTTTTTTTTTTTTTTTTTTTAAGATTTAGTTAAAAAAATTTTTTTATTTGAAAAAATGACAACTACTAAGGAAAGCAGGAAGAGAGAGAGAGAGAATATGAATCTTTTATCCACTGGTTTATTCCCCAAATGGCTGCAACGGTCAGGGCTGAGCCAGTCTGAAGCCAGGAGCCAGAACCCTCCTCTGTGTCTTCCATGTGGGTGCAAGCACCTAAGGAGTTGGGCCATCCTCTGATGTTCTCCCAGGCCATAACTCGGGGACCTGAATTGGAAGTAGAGCAGCTGGGACTCAAACTGGCTTCTGTGTGGAATGCTGGTGCTGTGGGCCGAGGAGTAGCATGCCGTGCCCTTGCCGGCCCCACTCAGTGACTTTAGAATGTTTAGAATGCTGTTAGAATTTTAGCTCGTGGGAGACTCAGCTCCTAGCATGTTTACTAGGAGATGATCATGGAGTCCTTGTGCTTGGCATGCCCCAAAAGGGAAGCACATTGTATCTGCTGTCCTGTCAGCCCTAGCACAGTGAACCCCAAAATGCCCGTTAACTCCCCTTGCATGCACCTGCTATGTCAGGTTCCCGAGCATGACTTGGAGGGTCTGATTTGCAAGCAGGTCTTTCTAGAGACAGCAGTCTGGGACTTCCTGTGGTAACATCTTTATTCCCATGTACGAGCTACTCCTCTGAAAGGTCCAGTTCTATTCAGGTTGGGCAAGATTCTAACTTCCTGTAGGTTACAGTTGTAGAATCCAATAATGACAAAAGTAATTAAAAAGAAACACAAACCATTTGTCATTTTGTTAGGTACAAGTCGATTTTCCTATCTATAACAATATTTAGATGCTTTCAGAATTTTATTCTACAAAAATATTTCACTCTTTTTGGTGTTGAAGTGTGCTCAGCCAAGGACTGACGTAGTGCCATGAGGCCAGCCTTCACACATGGTGCCTGCAGCCCTCATGGGAGTGCCACTTCAAGTCCAGGCTGCTCTGTTTCTGACTAGTCCTGCTAATGCACTTGGAGAGACATTGATGATGGCCCAGATGCTAGGGCTGCTGCCGCCATGTGGGAGAAGAGGGTGGTCTCTGGTTCTTAGCTTTGGTCTGCATAACCCTGTGATTGTTGTATTTGAGAGCTAGATTGTGCACAGACGCATATAGCTTTCTAGAAAGGGAAGCTAACCTGAAAAAAGGTTAGTCCAAGTTAATGTAAAAATATTTTGGCTCTTATTCTTAGAAAGTGGTTTTGCATATTCTTTCTTCTTGACCTTCTTTGTGATTGTTCTCGAGTCGTCCTGATAATCCTTCTACTCTGTTTGCCTATCCTGTAGCTGTTCTAACTCGTCCTGTCTCCATCTCCCCAGGTGGCCTCGAACACTCGCGGGCATCACCGCGTATCTGCAGTGCACTCGGAACACCCATGGCAGTGGGATCTACCCTGGAAGCCCACAGGATGAGAGAAAGGCCTGGCGCAGATGCGATCGGGGTGGCTTTTGGGCAGAGGATGACTATTCTCGCTGCCAGTATGCAAATGATGTTACAAGAGTTCTTTATATGTTTAACCAGGTAACTAGAAATCAAATGCTTAGGAGAGTCACTTACGAGTGGGAGGAGTTTTGGCCTGGTGGTTAAGATGTTGTGTAGAATACCTGCATAATACCTGGATGTTATATGGGAGTGCCTGGATTTGAGTGCTGGCTCCATTCCCCATTCTAGCTTCCTGCTATAGTGTTGGCTCCAGCAAGTGGGTCGCTGGCACTTGTATGAGAGACCTTGCCTAACTTTACTGCAGCTGGCTTCATCCTGGTGCAGTGCCAAGGGGTTCCAGCATTTTTTTTTTTTTTAAAGATTTATTTTTATTTATTTTTTTTATTGGAAAGGCGGATATACAGAGAGGAGAGACAGAGAGGAAGATCTTCCGTCCGATGATTCACTCCCCAAGTGAGCGCAACGGGCCGATACTATGCCGATCCGAAGCCAGGAGCCTCTTCTGGGTCTCCCACGCGGGTGCAGGGTCCCAAAGCTTTTGGGCCGTCCTCTGCTGCTTTCCCAGGCCACAGGCAGGGAGCTGGAAGGGAAGCGGGGCTGCCGGGATTAGAACCGGCGCCCATATGGGATCCCGGGCGTGCAAGGCGAGGACCTTTAACCACTTGCGCCACCGTGCCGGGCCCAAGGGTTCCAGCATTTTTAGAGTGGACCAGGAGATGGGAGTTCTGTCTCCCTCTCTGTGTCTCTGCCTCTGGAATAAACAAATGGAAAAATCCCCATTATGCAAGATATTTATGTGATAAGCCATTGAAGTGCAAATTTGAAATGATTGGGAACAGAAGCCTTTAAATGTAGGACTCTCAGATTTTGGAATGTTTGTGTAGATGTTATTATTGGGCATTCTAGATCCACAAATCCAAAATTGTGAATGTTCTGAAATTTAAATCTTTTTGACTGTTTTATCTTCCAGAAATAGACTCAGAATTTGGAGCTTTTGGATGTTGGAGTTTGGCATTGGGAATTTTCAGCCTGTATGAGGATATGATGTTTCTATTTGATTTGTCTGTTTCAGGGCTCATGTCTTAGCTGGTGCTTAAGGCTTCCTGTGTTATTTTTTCGGGAAAAGGTGGTGGGAGTGGGATTTTTCATTTGAATGGAAAGAGTGAAGAAAAAGGAGAGAGAGAGAGATCTTACACATGCTGTTCACACCTCCAAATGGCCACAACCAAAGCCAGGAGCCTTGATTGAGTCTCCTACCTGGACTTTGGCACACAGGTTCTTGGGCCATCTTAGATTGCTTTTCCCAAGTGCTTTAGCAGGAGGCTGAATGAAGCCGAGCAGCTGGGCACTCAAACCAGGGATCAGAGTGGATGCTGAGGACTAAGGTGGCAGCCTGTCCCACTGCACCTTTGCCATCCTTCTTCATTTGTAGCCGCAGCCTGAACTTGTGTGTGAGAACTGTTCTCATCTGTGTCCACTAGGCAGAATGCCAGGCAGCCAGCCAGTCTGCATGGACACCACCTCTTGGGTTTCTTTATTAACCTCTGTGTCAAAGTGACAGCTTAGAATACTTGCATTACCTCTGCGTGCTTCAGGATTTTTGCATCTCTGTCAACCCTGACCAGCACAAGCATTTGGAAGGTGGTTTCATGTTATTGTCTGTTGTGTCTCAGAGCCTACTGTACCTTTTGTGTAGTAGTAGTCCAGTCAAGTAGACTGGTGCTAAGTCAGTGTTTAAGTTAATAAACAAATATCAGAGATTGCTGGCAGTGCAAGACAAGAAAGATCAGTGCTAATACAAGGCCCATAGTCTTGACAGTGGGAGTTCCAAGGGCGCATCGATTTCCCTCAGCTGGAATGCTGGGGAAAGACTTGACTAAGCAGCCGGGACTGAGTGAGGCGTGTGTGGAATTTGTATAAATGGAGATGGAGGCGTGGTGCAGCCTGTTGACTTGTGGTGCTTCCTGCATTGTTATGTTTCATCCCTGTCCCCCTGGTTCATTTCCCTTCATGCTTTGTTTCAGTTTCCTCAAGATGGGAAAACATTTAGGAAAAATCACAATAAATGCATAATCAGGAGTTTGAAGTCATCGCAATGTTTGGACATGCAAAGTTAAAATGTCAGAATTTTGTGGATCATTTTGCTGAATGCTTTCTTTCCCCCTTCTGGCTTTTCTGTAGATGCCCCTTAATCTCTCAAATGCCGTGGCGACGGCTCGCCAGCTGCTTGCGTACACCGTGGAGGCAGCCAACTTCTCCGACAAGATGGATGTGATATTCGTGGCTGAAATGATCGAAAAATTTGGACGATTTACCAAAGAGGAAAAATCAAAAGAGGTATTTTTCAAAGTTCAGGTTTGTAGCATACAGTGTCAACCAGTGGTGATGGGGCAGATGGAAGCTGTACTGTTTGAAGCTGGTTTACGTGGGCCACTTTTGAAAGTTACACACTTTTGAGCTGGTCAGCTGTGCCTGGGCAGTTTTTTGCTGTGGCCATGAGAGTGACCTGTATGAAGTTGGCAGTGGAAGTGAACAGTCAGTTCTCGGACGTGAAGGTACCGTGATGAGCAGAGCCATAGGCCTGGGACTTGGCCTGTCCTCATGGCCTTGTGTCCTTTTTGATGTCACCCAGGTTTTATGGCAGTTTGCCTAAATGCTTTTGTAGTTAATGGAGAAGTAAGAGGCTGGTGAGGAACTTTAATGTTCCAAATAATTGGAAATGCAAGTTGGTGACTATATTTAACAAGGCCACATTCAAGCTACAATATGCTTGTCCTAGTAACCCAAAGGGGATAAAAAGAAACAGCACTGACCCTTTTTAGAATGTAGGAGCTGCAACTAAACAGTGTTTTTCCTAGTTGTTAGGAGCCCAAATGAACGTGTTTGCCTAAGAATTTTGAGCTATGTGAGACCATGATGAATTCTGTTTCTTCTGTGATTCAGATACTTACGCAGCAATGAATTTTGGTGGAAGAAGGAACCATAGCAAATGATAAACTGAATGCCAGCAGAAATTAACTGGTTTGTCCTGAGTTAGCAAGGCTAAAGCCAGAGCTCAGGCAGCCTTCTTGGCGTTACTGCAGGGGAGTGTCATTGTGTGGTGTCACACTGACCTGGCCTATGCTGCCCTGGCTTCCACTGCTCGGGGAAACTCACTGGGCTAAGCAACATCTGTAGCTTATGTAGAATATCTCAGGTTCTTCAAGATTGCTGCCAGATAAATAAAATACTTAGCTTCCCTAATTCATTTAAAGAAGAATTTTTAAGTTTTTTTTTTTCCTCTAGAGTGTCTCTTAGTGTTGTAGTTTGGTAAAATGTCTTGGAATTGTCTGAATGCACCTCGGGCACTGGATGTGGCAGGGGCAGTCACGAAAGGCAGGAAAAAGAGTTGTGTGTTGGTGGGCTCAGGCACGTGGGCCACCTGACAGTGAGAGCTCATCTCAGTGTTACTTGAGCTTCACAGACCATGACTTTCTGGCTGCTGATTGTGACCCTGGTCCACAGTCCACTTCCCAGCTCTGGGAGAAGCCCTTCAGATTCTGGCTCTGTGAGTGGTTGCTCATCACAGGATAGGGGGCTTGTATAATTAGTGGCTGTTTCTGGAAGGAGGATGTTTCCAGCTAGGAAAATAAGTGTCATGGTGTTTGGAATGTAAGCATTGAGAAGATCTGGCCGGGTCACGATGCCCGTTTCTTCCTGTGCTGCTCTAGTTTGCTGTGGGAAACTTGCTGAGCTCTTCCCCGCGTGTGAAGAGCAGTGCGGTGCCTGGGGCAGTGCCCTGGTTTGCCAGGTGTGAGCAGTGATGTCTGTAGGTGGAAGCACTCCCCTCCAGCGAGGCCTGCAAGCAGACACGTGTGCATGCTCCCTTCCTTGATTTTCAAAGCCAGTGACGTTTGCCTTGTGTGTCTTGCAAAACTCAATGTATGAAAGCGAGGAGATACAAATGAAATCATTTTGCAAAGCAGTTACAATTATAGGGCTGTGACATTTAACTTCTTTACAATTCCAAAAGCCAAGAAATCCTTTTAAAAAAAAAAAACTCAAATGCTTTTGTTACTTTTCTAAAACATCTTTTGAAGGAGTTTGGCGTTGCCTTCATATACAGTGGCCAAACAATGACCATCTCTGGAAAGAAGAAACAGAACCCTCCTGAGGATAACGAGGTGCACGTCCTGGTGGAGGGAGAACATTTGGGACTGAGTGATGAAGGTGTAAATCTAATAGTGCGTTGCTGCCTGTGGTGCCAGGGATCACAACCTGTGCCTTGACTCCACTGTTTGTTACTGTAGTGAAAATACATCATGAGGTTGAAGGGCTTCACTTTTTCTTCTGTTAAATTCCAGAGACAGACGCACAGACATGGCGAGCTCTTGTCTGCAGTCACGCCCCATGTGTCTGACCTTCCCAGACAGCACCTTGGAGTCTGTCCTAGATGTTTATCAAATGTGAGCTTGCCCCAGCCTCACTTGAAGGGTGTGTCAGTCACAGCTCGCTGCTCAGCATCCACTTGCTCCTAGTGCAGGACTGTGTAGGCCTGAGATAGAGTGTGAAATTTGCATTTCTAGGCTTTTCCAGGAGATGCTGGACAATGTGTCCAGTATAGTTGTCCAGAACGGCTGCCTCTCATCATTTCTTATCTTTGTATTCAAGGAATTTTTTTTTTCTTTACCTTAGCTTAGCTCTTAGAAATTCGGAAGTTTGGAGATAGGGGGAGGGATACAGATAAATTAGATTCCCAGTGGTTCATTTCTCACCTGCAGTCAGTGACCCAGAGCTGAGCTGAAGATAAAGCTAGGAGGCAGGGTCACTATCCCAGTCTCCCATGCAGGTGGTAGATCCCTACACACTGCCTTGTATGATCTGTGCTAGGAAGAAATAAGTCAGGCACTGCAGCTAGACATCGAACCTAAGCACAAGGATGTACGGTGTGGACGTTTATCTGTTACCGTAAACGCCGACCCTTTGTTTAGCTTTTTAAGGACCTCTTACTGCAAAAGAATCATTATATACAAAATGCTAAGAGACGATCATAAAACCTTGTTTAACTTAGACTCAACATCGACGGTATTGATACCAAGTTTGAACAACATGCCAATTTTTGGATATCTCCTTGTCTCATTGGCTATTCCAGGGCTTCCTGCCCTGCCCAAACACAACTGAATTTCCTCCTTTCTTAGTTAATAGAGTCTGATATTCCTTGTATTTAAAAATACAGGGTGTAGGAGAAGCATAGATTGGTTAGCTTTTCTCACGGTGCATGATCGCTCAGCTGATATCTCTACCACATGTATGAGACGACTCTTGGTTATTTTTTCCTTCCTAATTTATCATTAATTTACCTTTGAGTGTGTTTACTGGATTCCAGGTCCCATTTTATGGGTGAGCAGACTGACTCTCAGAGTTGCAAACTGATCTGTTGCAGTGATGTCTGCTGTCTAAGTGTTTAAGATTTTACCTATACACTTGAAAGATTGAATGATGGACAGGGAGAGACAGAGAGAGAGAGAGAGAGAGAGAGAGAGAGAAAGGAAGAACCTCCTTCTATTGGTTCACATCTGAAGTTCCCCTAACAACTAGGGGAACCTAGCTAGACATCAAAGCTAGAAACCAGGAACTCCATCTGGGTGTCCCATGCTGTTGTCAGTTACCCAAGCACTGGGGCCATCCTCTATGACTTCCCGTGCATGTTGAAAGGAAGCTGGATTAGAGACGGGTGAGGCTGATCCTAGCCCCTCTGATAGGGCATGCAGAGGGTGTCTCACGTGGCGGCTTAATGTGCTGAGCAGCAGTGTTGGGTGCTAGGAGTGTTTCACTCCAGGGCACATAAATGTTCTCCCTTCAGATTTAAGCGCCAGACTTCCATATTGAAATTAACTATCATCAAATTTACTGTGTATATAATTTTGTTTAATATGATGACATTAGAAATTCATTAAGTCTATGACTGATTTGACCTAATTTTGATCAAAATTCCAAACGACGTGTATTAAGAATAGGAAATGCTGTGTTTCTCACAACCGATGACATTGAGCACTGTCACCATTGTGAAGGTGATGTTTTTGTTTTCTCCCATTTGTCTTTGACAAAGTACATTCGCAGGTGCTTTTTGTCGGTTTAGTGTGACAGGTGCAGAAGCAGGTGCCTCATTCCTTCTGACCCTTTTGTGGCTGCAGTGGCCTTCAGGGAATGAGGCCAAGGAGAACGCTGGGCTTTCTAATGCCGGTTGCACTTTTAAACTGTCTTTGTGGGTCAGATATCAGGAACACCTTTTTAATCCGATGTAATTTTTCAGGCATGGTTATCCCCTTGTGTCCTTTCTTGCTACCCTGACAGATTCAGAACTACTTCCGTAACCAAGCAGGAGCATATAGCATTTTATGATTATCGGCTCTAGGGGATGTTTTGCCAACAAATCCCTCTCCTCAGTTCTTAGCCATTTGACGGCAAGTAATGAGAAAAACTGCTTATTCTTCGCTAAGGCAGTCATTCTTGTTAGCTCTGTCTTCTTAGAGCTGTTTCTTTTCTTAACGATTGTTAACACCAGTTACATTCTTTCCTGGCATTATCTCGTGGAGCCAGAATAGCAGCTTTTTGGTCATGTAATTATCAGACTTTTTTTTTTTTTTAAAGAAAAGATGCCATGTCTAGTAAGTCTTATGTCAGATCCTCCTAAAGTGCATGTGTTTAAACTTTTGAAAAAAAAAAAAGTTAAAGAACAAGGTTAGTTGAAGTTGTACTGGTCTGTAAACACCTTATATATTTCAGTGGGAATCTGGGATGGAATCAAGACTGTGTATTCATATTTTCAGTTTTGTAGCTAGTGGGAATTTCACTTCTGGTGGAGTGCCTGTTTCTCTTAGGTGGCTTGCATAAAACTGAGAAACAATAAGGATTAACAGGTAAAAGAGAGTTATTCTGGCCACTGGTCTGTTGAGTAGATCTGTTGAGTAGACGGTTGGGCAGATGCCGTAATTGCTGTGGCAGGAGTCGCCCACAGGCCTTGTGACTCCAGGAATAAGGTTTCCAGTAGAATGATGTTCGGCCCCAACCAGTGTGTTAGCAGGAAAATGTCCACGATGCACACATGCCCACAAAAGCAGTCAGCATCTACAGAGCTTGTTTGTAAACTCTTCTTGATTTTCTTTATTGCTGATGATGTTAGTATTTCAGATTTGAAGGAAAAAACTTGTTGGCAATGTATGTATGAGTCCGTTAAAATAGGGTATGTAGACTGTGTTTCGTTACTCTTTGGTGATGGTCTCCCAGCCGACTTCCTTCACAGCAGTTACCACAATCTAAGCAGCCTTGTTAAAATAGATTCTCTTGCTTCTTCTGTGTTTTCTTCATTATGTTAAAAACTTGAAGTTTCTTTTTTTTTTTTTTTTTTATTGGAAAGGCGGATATACAGAGAGGAGAGACAGAGAGGAAGATCTTCCATCCGATGATTCACTCCCCAAGTGAGCGCAACGGGTCGATACTATGCCGATCCGAAGCCAGGAGCCTCTTCTGGGTCTCCCACGCTGGCGCAGGTTCCCAAAGCTTTGGGCCATCCTCGACTGCTTTCCCAGGCCACAGGCAGGGAGCTGGAAGGGAAGCGGGGCTGCCGGGATTAGAACCGGCGCCCATATGGGATCCCGGGCGTGCAAGGCGAGGACCTTAACCACTGCGCCACCGCGCCGGGCCCAAAACTTGAAGTTTCTTACACTGCCATATCTCCGTTGCTTAAAACACTGTCTGGTTCACATTAAGCCTCAATTACTATTGAGCCAGTGTATGCTGTCAATGAGTAATAATAAAAAATGTAAATGTAAAACCAAACATTTGTAAATTATAAGTAAACGAACCATGATGGCATTGGCTCCTGCATTAGGTTTACTGGTGGGTAAAAATGTCCCTGAGACATTGTGACTCTCTCCCTTCACATGTTTGCATTGACAGTGAAAGAAGTAATTGTGATGTTGCTGTGGCAAGGACAGCACAGTCAGGAATTTTTAAAATTGGATTAGGGTACAAGATTGCTTTGCAAAGGGGAAGAGGCAAATTTTATTGAGTGTGTGCATTGGTTCTGTTTATATAGGAACACAGTCACTTGCCACTTGCTCTAGACCTCGGCTTTCAAGAGAGGTGTTTTGGGAATTGAAAATTTTTAAAGAACTCGAGTAGCAAGTCTCTGCACATTTAGTACCTGCCGTGTATGAGGCAGGGACCTTATGATGGTTTTAGGAGCCTTGTATTTATGGAGATTTCTTTGCACGCAGTTTAGTAGTGATTCTGCAAATCGAGGCCATACAGGAACAGAGAGAAGCTGTGTCTAGTGTCTGGCCCAGGTAGTGGTGGTCTTCAGCTGTGCAGTTGTATCACTGTGTGTTTTAGGGTTAGGATGGGAGGGGATTTCAGCAGGCCTGCCTTCTTTGTAGAGTGACCCCTGCATGGACTTAGCTGAACTTTTTCCAGGCCTCTCTTAGCCCTTTTAATTCCGCATTCTGTAAAGTATACTGGATGCCAGACAGGATGGAGGTTCTCTGCTGGGATCTTCCTGTCTGATCAAAACATATCTGTGGGGCCAGCCTCTGCTCTCTGGCGTGGCTGGGGCCTCCCGCCTTTGATGCTTGCTTGTTGGTTAGAGGACTAGTCGCTGTATAAATCCTCTGATCCCTCCTCTGGAATGTTTTTTGTTCTTTGTGCCACAGATCTCCCCTGTGAACTTTTTCTTCCATACAAACCGTTTGGACACCAATGTGTCTGCTTAGCCTGGGACATTCCATTGGATTTCTCTGAGCTGGGATATGCAAGTCACATTAAAACAAGAGTTCAGTTTGACTAGAATTGCCCGACAGGTGTTTTCATCTATATTTTACAAAGTGAGCTAATGAACAAGTGAAAGCATCAGTGGAAAAGTGGGTGCCTCTTAGGTGCCATTTGTGTCATGGCACTGGACCTTAACATGGGCATGGGCTCAGGGTGGAGGGAACAAGCACTCCAGCTGACATAGAGGAGACCACACGTACAAAGTGACGGAGCTGTGAGGTTGCCCAGCACGAATGGGAGGCCAGCGGTACTGGGACACACATAGGATTTTGACTATGACAGGAGACCAAAGAGATGTATTTTTAATAATCGTAGAGTTTGATTTCAAAAGCAGTGTTTATCAGTGCTTTTCCAGACCACAGAGATCTTTGTATTCTGGTCTGATGTGACACCTTTTCCTGCTGCTTCGGTTAGTCTAATTGCCTTTTCTGTTCCTTAATTTGTGCTGTCACTGGGCAGCCTTTTCACAAGTGATGAGGCGGCTACTCAGGAACACTGTTGTGAGTTAAATACTATGAATTAGATAAAATTGTCTTAGTTGAAGGTGGCATTTATGTCTGAAGATGCTTAAACGAGAATCCTGTTGGGGATTCATGTGATAATTTAGACTGAAGGCCGATTTCATTGTTTCTCTAGGATTTGGGTTCTGTAAAACAGCACATGTCGGTTTTAACAATCTTTGTCTTTTCTCCCGCTAGCTAGGTGACGTGATGGTTGACATCGCAAGCAACATCATGTTGGCTGATGAGCGTGTCCTGTGGCTGGCACAGAGGGAAGCTAAAGCCTGCAGCAGAATTGTTCAGTGTCTGCAGCGCATCGCCACATACCGGCTGGCCAATGGGGCTCATGTTTATTCAACAGTGAGTGTCACATTATCATACGCATCTCAGGAAAAAAAAACTCATTTAAAGCAACTGTAATCCAAATGAGTTAGGTTTCTTTCCTGTGGTGGGATGGATATGTTCTGTTACTGCTGACGAGCACTGGATGGCTTTCTTCAAAACATTGGAAAAGTTTTTCGATTTTGGGTGCTGTTTTCTTGGTAACTTGAAAGTGCTTTCTTACTGCGTGGAGTGGTTATCAGCCACCTCACCCTCTGAAATGCCCTCTGTGAGAGCAGTGAGGGTGCTGGGGTACTGTCCTGCTTGCACATATGGCCCATCCGAGCTAATGTTCCGCCTTGGGCCCTCAGGAATGCTCTGAGACTGCTTGGCTTTCTGCCTGGGCTTTAGTCTCTGAGGAGATCAGCGATGCCCACTTGTGCCTGCAGAGCTACTGGCAATTTCAGTCTGTCCCACTCATGGGATTATGAGTTATTCATGTATAATAATCATCCAATCAGCTAGTTTTCAATTTTGCTGATGGTGAATTGGATTATTCATGTCTTCGTGTACTATTTAATTTTTCCTCTAAAAATGCAGCCGGTTTGCAAATACTGTGTTATTCTATTACTAATATTATCTGACAGTTGTTTTTGTGTTCAAATTATTTGAAGTGGTACAGGTGGAATAAAGTATTCTCTGCTTGCACCTTTGCATTTATACAGCTCATGACTTTTTTTTCCCGTTGACTTTGAACTTTTTTTTTTTGTTAGACCATGTTTTATTGTTTGTTTTGATTTTTAGCGTTGCTTTCCTGAATAATAAATAAAATGAAAGCCTAGATGACTGCTGCTTTTCCTCATAGATGGAAATTATGTGGCTGTGTTTGTCATTTTCATGGTGGTCCTTGGTTCTGTCTGGCTGCTCTGACCTTTTTAAAATCTCATCCTTGAGTCTTACTTATTATGTGTGCAGCTGGAGAAATTCTTTAAATAATGGGATCAAATTCTATGTATTTCCTGTATTACAGTTTTAAGTATATTATGATGCTTCCACCCTCTCTCCTCCTTCCTTTCTTATTTCCTTTTAAGTTTTACAATGACATACCTTCAATTTAGTTTGTAATCACCAGTCTAACCCTCTGATGTTATGGACATGGGCTATAACAATAGTTGTGAAACAGATGATTCTGGGACCTCCAGGGTGTAAGGAAGCTCATAGTGAGTGTTCACATGCCACTTGAAAGAAGTTACACATCTACCTCCTTAAAGGTGGAGCAGCTTCAGAGAAATGAATCCCTGAGTGTTGGGCCTGATTATTTCTTCTTAGGATCCCTTTTGTTGGTGCATTGGTTGGAGCAAGTTAGATTCATCTTAGAACTCTCGGATCCCGTGTCAGAATGCCAGGGTTCCTGTCATGGCTCTGCTTCTGGTTGTAGCTTCCTGCTGATTAGCATCCTGGCCATTCAAGTGATAGCTGCCTAGGCACCGAATGACGGCCCAAGTGTTTTGAAGCCCTTCCACCATGGGGACATCCAGATAGAACCCGTTACCTGGTTGACCATGGCGAGATCCAGATAGAGCTCGTTACCTGGTTGGCCTGGCCCAGGCCTGGCTGTTGTCCTTATCTGGGGAGTCCACCAGTAAATGAAAGAACTCTGCTTTTCAGATAAATAAAAAATTTAAAAGTAAGATTCTATAAAATATTAGGATATACATTATTTCTAAATAAAATCTAAATGCCAAGACTTCAGAGAGTATACTATCTGAGGTAAAAGTGGGTGCACAGATTTCTTAATCTAAGAAAGTTTAGGAACTGCTAATTGCATTCTAATGGTATATAAGGGTTCTTGAAAGCAGTAGGAAAATGGGATTAAAAGATTTTGGGTGCAGAAATTTTTGGAATCTATGGGTATTTGTAGGAGGGCCTTTATGTCAATTGCAGCAAATGCCCATCATGAGAAATCTATTTGTTGATTTCAGAATAGTTACCATCAAGTTAAGCCTAGATTTCATTTTCCTTAAACTCTTTAGAATACCCTCATGTATGGTAGTTGCCACATTCTATTTTACTTTATATATTCAAAAAAAAATATTGTCTCATCTCCCTAGTACATTTTAATCATCTTACACCAGAGATCCCATGGTTTTTTTTAAAACATAAAGAGGACACTGTCATCGTCTGGTACTGAGAAGGGTGACCTCCCTATATGGTTGTGCATGGTCTGTCCTCCTTCAGCATCTGATGGTTTAGAGCCAGCCCTGCCGCCTTCCTGAGTGTGGTGCACCAGCTCCGCAGTGCTTGTGCCCTCTTGGGCAGGGTCTGCCACTTGAAAGAATTGCAGCCCTCTCCACGTGTGTCCCGGAGACCAAGTATTTCACATTTGAGTTGATCTCTTAGCTCAGCGGGTATCATCTTTTGTCGTGATTTTTCAGAACCAATTTGCTCCTTAAAATCTGTTCATTTCTTGCTCTTTGAACCTTGCATACTACTCCTCCCTCCTTTTCCAGGAGAGGCAGGAAAGAAAAAGAGGAAATACAAAGCTTTGGAGTGAGTATCAGGTTTTTATTCATGGCCTTAGTGTAGGGAGTTAGCTTTGCCTCCTAGAAAAGGGAAAAGAGATACGGCCTGAGGTTGAACAAGGTTACCTTTTAAGTGTGTTTCCCAAAACCTTATAGTTCCTTTTCATTATTCCTGTAAGATGATTATTATAGTGAGGCCTGGGAATTGGTGAGAATATGTTGTTATAATGCAAAAAATATAATACAAAAATTGTTATAATACAAAATTTCTACATTTAGCTTAAAGTATCCTGTAAAGTGCTTTCCAAATTTTGTTCTTATTTGTCTGAACAATAGAGACGCGTACAGACATAGAAAACTCCTCTTTGTTGGCTTACTGCTAAAATGCTTGCAGTGGCTGGGCAGAGCCAGGATTGGAAGTGGGACCCAGGAACTGAGCCTAGGTCTCCTACACAGGTAGCAGGAACTGAATGACTTAGAAAACTACCCATGGCTGCTAGAGTCTATTAGAAGGAAGCTGGAGTCAGGAACTGGAGTTGGGTGTTTGAATCTAGGTACCGCAGGATAAGAGGTACGCATCTTACCTGTTGAGCTAAATGCCTGCCCTCCTGCCCGCCCCCAACTTATTTTCACTTGATGTCTGATTTATACCTGATCTTGCTTACTTTGTGCCTTGTTCCTTTTCTTGGCTCTGCCCATTCTCTGTACTGTGTATTTATTTAAGAGTTTGGGTTTTCTGATTTGGCTTACATGTGCAGTATCTTGTGTTTGGAAAGTCTTTTCTCCTGATATTATGAATCTTTTGTAATTGCTGTTTGGTTAACTTTTGAAGTACTCACCCAATATTGCTCTGGAAGCCTATGTCATCAAGGCTGCTGGCTTCACGGGGGTGACCTGCACCGTGTTCCAGAAAGTGGCCTCCTCGGACCGCACAGGACTGTCGGATTATGGCAGGCGAGATCCCGATGGAAACCTGGACAAGCAGCTGAGCTTTAAGTGCAATGTGTCAAATACATTTTCCAGCCTCGCCCTGAAGGTGCGTTGCATTCTCTTGCCATTTAAGACTGTTTACAGTGCAATTAGAATGCCTGAAATGTTTTGCTTTGCAGAATAACTTTGTTGATAGTGTTTTTTGAGGAAGGAGAATGCAGAATTTTACTGGGAATTTGCTGTTGTTTTAAAGAAAGTTCACACCAAGGGAGCGCCCATTTGGGACTTTAATGCACCTTGCATGTTTCTTACCTGGGGATTATCGTTCTCTAGCCCCCAAAGGCCAAATATTACATTCTAGGATGGTGTGGTATAAGTTAATGTTGCAGATTAATAGGCTTTCCCTGACCCAAATGTTTGTTTTGTTCCTGATTTTAAGATAAGAAACTGTTTTCACTAGTCTGAGTTTGTGGTAGAGCCCTTGGCACTGTACCAGCTACACCTGGTAAAGTCTGCTCTGTGTTTAATTAGGGTATACCAAACTTTGTAAATGTGTGATATATTATTCACAAATCTGTGTTTCATGAGAACAAGAATGATGAAAGTTTCATTTTTTTTTAAGATTTAGCTATTTTCGGAAAAGTCAGATTTACAGAAGGAAGGAGAGACAGAGAAAAATTCTATATCCGCTGATTCGCTCCCCATGTGGCCGCAGTGGCCAGAACTGAGCCAACCTGAAGCCAGGAGCTAGGAGCCTCTTCCAGATCTTCCACATGGGAGCAGGTTGCCAAAGCTTTGGGCTAGCCTATATTGTGCTCCCAGGCCACAAGCAGGGAGCTGGAATGGAAGTGGAGCAGCTGGGATATGAACCGGCGCCCATATGGGACCCTAGCACGTGCACAGCAAATGCTTTAGGCACTAGGCTTTCACGCTGGGCCTCGTTTTCTTTTCTTTTCTTTTTTTTTAAATGTTGGAGGTGCAGTTATGTTTCAGTAAAACTCATCGAAGCAAGCAGCAGAGGCACAGCTCCTGCACCCTTATGGACTATTAATTTCATAGTCCTTTCTGTGCTTTTGGCTTGTTGCAGAATGAAATGCAAACAGCAGTTGAGTCGTTTCTAATGGTTCGGTAATATCGTGGTCACACAGGTGCCAGCTGTGCTGATACCTTGCTGACAATAAATATGGAATCAATGAGTGATGAAACTAATGTGTTTTGTCATACTTTACCCTGATGACCTGCATAAAATGAGCCAATTTGATGAATTTAGGTATATCGCAACTGACAGGGACAGTCTAAACTAGGTGAGAATGCCTGATAATGAGATAGATATTTGCTACCATATATTCAGAGGAAATCTGGCAGGTTGTCCATTATGGTTGGCCTATGGGAGTGGTGCTTACCTGTACCCAACCATGGCGCTGCTCTACTCTGGTCAAGTTTCATGTTTGTGCATCTTGCTGTTACAAACAAACCTCAAAAGACATAGAGAGGCCCGTGAGAGAAAGGCTTGTGCTTTAGGAGTGCTTAAAATTGATGAACTCTTCTGTCTTAGATGATCACAGTAGGTAGAAAGGGATTAAAAATGATGAAGCCCTGTGCTTCATCAGTTTCACAGCCTCCCCCTCTGGGTAAGGCGAGCGTCTGCCTGCTGAAGTCGAAAGCTTTAGAGGAACACTTGCAGATTTGTCAACTTCATGCTGTTCTACCCTTTTGAGAACATCGTGAGGCCGGAGAGCAAGAACACGTGGAACTATCATTCATGTTTCATAGCTGGATATGAGTAAAGTGAGTGAGAATAGAACACATCTTTCCCGACTCAGAATTAGTTAAAAAAAACTTTTTTTAATGTAAGCACCACAAACTATTCCTTTAGCACCTTAGTGGAACTTTCTTTACATTCTAACCTTGATACTAGAGCATGCACCCCTTATCTTTGAATCTCTTACTGCTGTACCAGCTAGTCAGCCTGAGCACCGTGTAACTGATGACACTGTTCTTGAACAGGGATGCAGGACAGCAGGGGATGTTAGGCCCCCGCGAGTCTGCTCTTCGTGAGCTGTAAATGTCCCACTTGATTTACTTCTTGAGTCTTGTGTCTTTCCTCTGTAGTCTCATCACAACCATGTATGGCCACCTGTCCTGTATCGCTCCAGCCATGGCAACTTCCTATTTCGTCTGTCTCTAGAATTATACTGAGGTATCCATCCTCCTCACACATGTCTGCCAGCATGTGGTGGGGTTACCATGCCAGTCTGGGAACCTGCTGAACACCTCACTACCACTTTGCAAGTGTCTGTTCTGCTAGGAAGGCTCGGCTGGGCCTTCTGTTAGAAATGTCATGCTTGTACGGCTTTGTACAAGTTAGCAACTGAGGTCAGTGCCTACGAGGGTTGCAGTGGGGTGGGCGTGGGCGTGGGCGTGGGGGGTAGAGAGAGAGAACACCCCTAGGGGCCTATTGTGGCAATCTCTGGTTGTCAGGGCTCACACTGGGAGCTTTATCTCCATATTGAGCCAAGTGCACGTGGACCTTGTCCATGTCCTGATGGAAACAATACGTGCTCTATGTCCAGAAACACCTGTCAGGTGGCTTTGTGCTTTGGCATCACTGTCATTTGCCACGTCTCGACCTTCCTTCTCTGACTTACTCTCCAGTGACAATCCCCTTGGTGCCTTTCCAACCACCTGGTCGCTCTTAGGTTGAATTGGCACTGCTTCTTGGGCTTGAAATCCCAGCTCATTCCCTGCCCAGCCCAGCTGCTTGAGTAAACCTGGCAGAAATCACCTCCATGAAACCCTTCCTGACACTGTCCTGTCAGTCCTCCCTCCCTCTCGTTACTTTTACATCTCCCATTCAGTTTCTCTTCAAGTTCTATTCATCTCTGTTTTTGTGAAAGATTTGTTTGAAAGAATCACCAGGAAAGAGGGAATGTCAGAGAGAACTTGCATCCACTGGTTCGCTCTCGCATTGGCAGGGGCTGGGCCAGGTGGACGTCTGGAGCCAGGAACCGAGTCGGCTGCCTGCATGCACAAGGCTCAAGTGCTTGGACCATCTGCCGCTGCCTTGCTACATGCAGTCTCAGCGAGCTGGCTGAAACGTGGAGGAGCCGGTGCTCTAACTGCAGTTCCTACTACATGCCACAGTTGCTGAAGTCACAGGCTTCTGCTTAACGTGCTGTGCCAGTTGTTGCCTCCTGTCTGTCTTTGTGCGCCCAGTCTATTCTTAACTATTTGAAATCCTGCTTCTCTGCTGTAACACCCCGCACAGACTCTGCCTGTTTGTCCTCATCTGGCAGAATTCATCCTTGTGGGTGAATCCCCCGAGTGCTTTTGTTCATTCTTCAGAATAGTTCTAAGGCATTAGAATATACATTTCAATAGTTTGTGGTGGGAAGCCTAGGATATAGTTACCTAACAGTATGATCTCCATGCAGCCAGACAGCTTCAGTTCATATTACATGCTGTTGCATGGGACAGGTGTGCTAAGTCTCACTCACGGGACAAGTGTGGAAACATGGGCAAGGGTCTTCTCAGAATTTCAGTTTCTGGTCTGTAACCTGGGACTCATGTGATGGTACCCCAGGTGTTGTTGAAAAGCTTAAATGAAGTGGATGTGTTGACATTCACAGCACATGTTAGTTCTTATTCCTCTTGTTTCATTGCTTCTGTGTCCCTCTTTAGGCGTGAATTCCTGATGAAGGTTAGGGACCACACCCTCTGCTGTTCTTTGTCCTCAAACTGCGCAGCGCTGAGAAACTGAACAGTCTGAATGCTGTGGAGCGGAATTAGCATTCCAACTTAATTAGCAAAGACAGTCATTTAAAAAAATTAATTATAAAGGCAAATGTAATCCCTGTTAATCTTCAGCAGTGAGATAATCAAAAGGTGGTATAGTTAATAACTAATTATACAAAGGAAAATAATTGGACTATCTTCTAATATCTGTTTAAAAGCAAGCCAGGAGGCAGTTAAGTTTCATGGAGAAAGCACTATTTTATTGTTCTGAATTAAATGCCTTTTTGACTAATTCTGGTTTTTGAAGTGTTAGAACTTCATAGACTTCAACAAATTAAGATTTCTGAAAATTAAAATTTTTAATTACATAGTGGATGAAGTCCCAATTCATTCATACAGTGAGTTGTTAAAAGCTAGTGGAATAATTGAGTTAACATCCATTCTACCACTTAGACTGTTTTCTTCGTAGCTTCATGCCGTTATAAATAGTGAAACAGGCAAGAATTTAGCAAGTCCGACAGTAAGAGCTTTGTGAATGTTCACGTGTGCTCATACATCACCAGTATTTAGCACTAACTGAAACCGAGTTGAGGTTCTGGATTAAGTCCCTTACTGTCAGGCCCTTGCTCTCCTCCAGGCTGCAGGTGTCAGTCTCCCTGCTGCTCTCATGGCAGTAGAACCCCACCCACGGGTCCACGCCTTCGGTGCTTGGGACGGTCGTGATCTCATTTGGTCCTCCCTGCTGTTTGTTAGAAAGGATGTGAGCCGTGTTGGGTAGTTGAGAAGCAGCTGGGAAGGCTGGCACCTGAGGCCTGCCTCTCACTCAGTGCTCTGTGTCCTTTCTCTACATTACACCTGCTGCTTCAGCACTGAATATTCTCAAAGCCACAGATGCTCATTTCTGAAAGCCTCTTAAGAGAGACTTCTCCAATGTATTAGCTGTGATTTTCTGTGCTTTTATCTGTTTCCATTGCTCAAGAATTTGGAAATATATGTATGTTGCAATGAATTATCAGCTCTGTGTTCCTGCCCTTAGATCAGGTGAAAAAGGTATAACCATGATACATGTAATCAGATTAAGTAGGTCTCCTTCAGTGGTCTGTTTTCGTTGGCTGTGTCATCTTTCCATAAATAGTACACAGCATTTCCCGTCCAGAAACCATTGCTGCATCCGTTGTTGAACTGGGGTTGCTTTGCCCCGGATCTCCAGGGTTTCCTTTCCTCATTCAAGGGAACCAATGGTTAATAATTAAGTGATATTAGGACATTACAGTAGTTTTTTTTTTGAACTTTTTTGTTGTTGTTGATTTAGTTTTTATTTTGTAAAGATTTCTTTATATTTATTTGAAAGGCACAGTTATGGAGATTTTTCATCTGTTGGTTTGCTCCCTTAAGGGTTTCAGTGATCATGACTAGGGCAGACACAGTCCAGGGACCAGGAGCTTCTTCCATGTGGTACGGGTACAAGCACTTGGGCCTTCAGCTGCTGCTTTTCCAAGGTTCAGTAGCAGGGAATGGGATCGGGAGTGGAATAGCTGGGACTCAAACCAACGCCCCTACGGATGCCTGCGTCATGGGCAGCGGCTCTGGCTGCTGTGGCGTAGCATTGGCTCGGTGATAGTCCTGGTTGGACTTGAGCAGGCGCTTTAAGAGCCTTAAGCAGCAACAGGCGTGTGGACGAAGCGCCTGTCACACGGTGATCCGTGGGCTTCGGTGCTGTGTTTAGCTTGGTGTTCCAAGTTGCATGTTGAAGGGAAGACCCTTCTTTATTTTTAGAAAATATAGATATTTCCCTCTTTAGCTTTTAGAAAACGTTAGGTAAGATTTTTATTTGAGTGATCAAAATTATTCTTACTATACCTTTCCAGAGAGCCATGTTTTTTCCCCCCTAGGAATTTTCTTCTCATAATACATATTTTAATGAATTTTATATAGTACTTAAGGTTTAGTAAATGCCTCATTTTTTCACACTTTATCAGAATCTTGAACTTCTGATGAATTGATGTTTATACTTTTCCTCTTTGCATGCCTCATTTTGTATTTAAGAGAAATTTATATGCTGAAAAGAAACTTAGATTAGCAAATGAGCATATAATAAACTTTGTTTCTAAATCGAGTTATATTTATATGTGAGAACAGCAGAAACCTTATAAGGCATTTGCTTAAGCAAAAATATTTCTGCTAAATGTTTTCTTGGCACCTTCAATTTACGAGAAATATTTAAAGTTCTAAAATATATTCATCCAGCAGATATTTATGGGTGTCCCATGTGTTCCAGCATTGTGCTAAACCCAATAGCTGAATAGTTCTAAAGTCAGTCATTTACTAAAATTGAGGGGTTTTGTTGTTGTTATTGTGGTTGTTTGATTAAAAAAATTTAGATTTACTTTCACAGCCCGCAGTTTTTGTGAAATGCTGGTGCTGGGAAGTATTGACATGTAGGGATAACTGAATGCAGTTAATATAGATAAGCGAGTGCAGTTGTCTGCATCCAATACTTCGCTAGGTAGAGCAGATCCCAGGATTAGCTTCAAGAAACAGGTGTCCGGAGAAGAAGGTGCACAGAGATGCAAATGCAGAAATGCTGAGGAGGTGTGTTGTCCAGACAAACACTACGCTAAGAACTGTGCTCTGAAAAGGTTTTCTACTAGTCTCCTACCTATCTCATTCTGACCGATTCTTTCCATTTCCAAAACTTAAAAGTCAAATTGGATGAATTCAAGAAGTTGGCAGACAAGAGCATAGTAGAATGTTACAGGCCAATGCCTGTGCAGTGCACACAGTGGCATAAAAGAACAGAGAAGGGCCTGGAACGGTGGCCTCGTGGCTAAAGTCCTAGCCTTGAACGTGTTGGGATCCCAAATGAGCACTGGTTCTAATCTTGGCAGCCCCGCTTCCCATCCAGCTCCCTGCCTATGGCCTGGGAAAATCAGTCCAGTATGGCCCAAAGCTTTGGGAGCATGCACCCACGTGGGAGACCTGGAGGAACTCCTGGCTTCAGATCGGCGCAGCTCAGGCCATAGCAGTCATTGGAGAATGAATCATTGGATGGATGATCTTCCTCTCTGTCTCTCCTCCTCTCTATATATCTGACTTTGCAATAAAAGTAAACAAATCTTAAAAAAGAAGAGAGAAGAACTCAAAGCTTAATAAGCTCAGTGTGGCTGGATTGTTACTTGTGGTTGAGGAATGTCTGGACACAAATGTGAGAGGTAGATTCTAGTCCAGTTACTGCAGATCTCGGACGTAGAGGCTGAATTTGCGCAGTGCAAAACCAGGTGTTACTTAAACTGGCGTAACATGATCAGATTAGCTTCTCAAAGAGAAATTCTCTCGGCAGTGTGAAGATTGGATTTAAATGTAGGAGATTGGTGGCCAAGAGAATGATTTTATAATACATTGTTAACGTGAGATATAAGTTTTAAAAATAGTTGTTTGACTCCCTAGTGTGTAGTTTTTGATTGAATATTGAATGATTTATGATTTAAAAGTTCCAGTAAATAAATGTGACAACCATTCAGTGACCAGTCAGCATTTTCATCTGTTCTTATTAATGTTTTTTTTCTCCACGTGTGGTTTGAAGCCTTCAGGAAGCTTTGGCTAAAGTGTTTGCCCACTGTAAATCTCGGTTGTATTTGTATAAGTTGGCTCTGTGAGTCCGTCTGACATTCCCTTGAAGTTTCATAAAGCCTGAAGAAGTTAGCCTCACGGTCATCGCTGCATTCATCCTCTTTGGTTTATCATTGTGAACTTGATGGCACGAGCGATTACTGAGATTCTGACTCGTGGAGTGCCGTCTCCTTCAGCAGTGTCTGCCGTGGAAAATGTACTGCTATGCGAAACGTTTCCTTGTTTGCTTCTTTAACTCTTTGAAGTGCAATTTGCATTTCCCTTGATTTTATGCTTCTTTTGATCTGTGTGCAGACATTTAACTGTTCAATGATTTTAGCTGTTAAAGTTTGTAAAAAAAAAACATGTTCAGCATAGAATTAAAGAGCTTGCATCACTCTGAGCCATTGTTAACGGGGTGTGTGTGTGTGTGTTGTTGTGTTTGCTTTCAGAACACCGTGGTGGAAGCCTCTATCCAGCTCCCTGCTTCGCTTTTCTCACCAAAACAGAAAAGGGAAGTCCGACCGATGGATGACTCGCTCTATAAGCTGCAGCTCATCGCGTTCCGCAACGGGAAGCTTTTTCCTGCCACTGGGAATTCGACAAATCTGGCTGATGATGGGAAACGGCGTTCAGTGGTTACCCCTGTGATCCTCACCAAAATAGGTGTGTGTGTGGCCTCTGGTACCCTGCAGTCAGTGGCCACTGTGGCTTTGCAGCCCACTGTTCCCCAAAACGCTGATTTCTATGCATTTTGATTTCAATGAGTCACTGGTGGAAAAAGATCCTGTCGAGTACTCATTAGTGCGTAAGTTGACATTTAAGTGTCTGTAAAGTTTGTTTCAGAAATGTTTTTATTTCCTGTTTGCTCCAGATGGTGTGAATGTAGATACCCACCACATCCCTGTTAATGTGACCCTGCGTCGAATTGCGCACGGAGCAGATGCTGTTGCCGCCCAGTGGGATTTTGATTTGCTGAATGGGCAAGGAGGCTGGAAGTCAGACGGGTGTCATATCCTGTACTCGGATGAGAACATCACCAGCATTCAGTGCTACTCCCTTAGCAACTACGCGGTTCTCATGGTACGGCCGTTGTTCGCTAAGTGTACAAACACTGAGTATTCCCGTTTTTCCCTATGCACAGCAAAGCTTGTTCTTTTTAATTCTGTTAGAAGTAATGTTTGCTATGATCCTGGTTTTCCAGTGAAGTTGTGGTACTACTCAGCGACATGTAGGGACTGCTTTTGGGATAGGGATTTTTAGTAAACCCGATAAGGGAATAAGTCCAGCACATTATTTTGAGTGTATAAAAGTTGCTGCAATTTTGGGTTTCTGCCGTCTCCTCTTTTCAGTGAGAAAAGTGACTCATTTGCCCAAGGTACACAGTGAGTGGTGAAGGCGCTTCTCTCCCCCTTGGCTGTCTGATGCCTTTTCCTGCCCCATGTTGTAATTATCTGAAGCTCTTTGTAAGCTCAGAATCGATGGAGGTAATTTCAGTTTTGTCACTTCAAGTGTTAGTGTTGATACAAACAATGTCTTTTCAGTCCGTATGCCAGTCAGTGTAATTCCGTTTTATTTACCGATGCTAATATCCATCAAATTTTCTGGGTAAAATAACTAGGTACTAATGTAAAGAAACAGATCCATTTAGTATCTTATTACTCAAATGGATCTGATTTCCAAGCAGATAACTATGAAATTGTTGTAGGTATTACTATGATTATTATAATATAGGTATCAGTGTAATTACTATAAAGCATAGTAGACTATTTTGGAGTTGTAATGATGAATTTAAAAGACATTTCCCAGAAGGGACCTGAAGACAGCATAAAGGTAAGGGTTTTACGTGTAGGGTTTTATTTCTGCTTACAGCTTTGAATCTGCTGTTTTCCCTCAGAGCACAAAGCAACACTTGCTGTTTAAAATGACCCTGACTAAGCCTGCATTCTAATGAATTTCTCTTAACTTTTTCCTGATTTTCTTTGCGCCTCGGCTTGTTGTATTTCACCGGTGTACACAGTCAGGTGGACAGAGAAGTGAGTGGATCATTTAGCAAGGCCTACGTGGTATCATCGTAGGCATGTTGCACAGCTGGAAGCATTAAACTTGAACTTGCCTCCTGCTCAACTGACCTGGGCACAGTCTATCTTAGTTACATACGGGTCATTCTTCCCAACCTGATGTCGCTTGTTTTCCGTTCTCTTCAGCAGTGGGAGGTATTAGATTCCTGTAAGATCATGTTTTACCATTTTGAGGGTGATTTTCAAAGCATAAAGCATACATTAATACATGAGATACTTTCTCTGTAAAAGTGTTTTCTCATTTAAGTTTTGAGTATGTAGTAACCTGAAACTGTGAGGTTCTGCAGGGGAAATAATGGAGAATACAGCATTGTCTTTAATTTATATGGTGGTTACCTAGAGAAATTTGGGTAAAATAAATGATTCATGACACATAAGGTCAGTTATCAGCTTCACTGTGATGGTGCACCTTGCGAAACTTCTATTTTCATTTAATACTAGTTTAAAGCATCTATTTTTGAACTTCCGAGCTGTTCTACTAAACTATTTAAATTAGTATAATCCCTTTCTAGAAGGAATAAGCTATTCTTTTATCTTTCAGACTTTTAATCTTTTTAAAAATGTAATACACATTTCTTTAAAATACAGGACCAGGATATTTTTTCTGTGAACGTTTCCTTTCCCTCTTCTTAGATGTGACTTTGCCACCTAGGGGCGGCAATGTGAAGTGCATCTGAATTTGACAAAATTATAATGCAGTGTATGGGAGTTAGTAGATACTTACAGATAAAGGCAAAGTTAATGACATTATACAGGCCCAAATAATTAAAACTAGGTCTAAGGGAGAAGAAATACCTCAAAAACTGGAATTCAGTATCTTTTCCTTTTACTAAACCTTTTAAATATATTTATTTATTTGAAAGTTAGAGTTTCAGAGAGATCAAGGCAGAGAGGAAAAGCTCTTCCATTCTTTAGCTCGCTTCCCAAATAGTCACAGCAGCCTCCGCTGAGTCAGGCACAAGTTAGGAGCTAGGAAGCAGGGTCTCTCATGTGGGTGGCAGGTGCCCAGGCGTTTGGGCCATCTTCTGATGCTTTCCCGGGTCGTAACAGGGAGCTGGATACAAAGTGGAACAGCTGGCATACAAACTGGCATCTATGTGGGATGCAAGGACTGCAGGTGGCTTCTAACCTACTGTACTTATCACTGGCCCCTACTTGTTTTAGATAATAAAGTCTTATTTTTCTTGAATTACATCACCCTGTGTTTTCTTATGTAATAAGCTGCAGTTCCCGTTTGAAATCGAGAAATCATCTCGTGATCTTGTTTTTAAGAATCTTCTATTAAAAGCATTAACTATTAAGGCTTTATTAAAAGATTTGTAATGGATAACTTAATTGGTTCAGAGTACATCCTGCTATATTTAGTGATATCTAAAGTCTCAGTGGGAACCAGTCAAAACAGTTAAGTGAAAATCGTATTTACTTGAAACATATGATCAAAAACAGTTTGGGATGAAGATTCATAGAAAGATAAAAAAAAACACAGCCTAATCAGAAAACGCAATAATGATTAGGTCCAATTAGTGATTCTTGGGATTTTAATCAGTAAAGGTAGATAATTTGTATCACATGAGCCCCCTTTGTTATTCCTTACCTAGAAGCAGGAAACTGGAGAGCATTGAATGTGTTTTGCTCCCCCTAGTGATACTTTTAAATTTGTGAAAGCATGTTGTTGGATGAGAGTAAACTTCAGTTTCCTTTACTGTGAGTGACCACAAGTGCCACCCATGGTTCTGTTGAAGTACTTCTGAGTAGATGCCACATTGACTGGATCCTGGACCAGTACAGTTAGTTTCTTATTGAGATATTTTCATGTGTTTGCATCAGAATGTTCAGTCATGTTTTACCTGAGAGTTTGTTTTCTGAATCATGTTTGTTGCATCAAGTGCTGCACCTGAAAGATGGCGTTGATGCTGATACAGGTGAGGGAAGAGTCTCCTGCTAATCTGTGTTAGGTAAAGTGTGGCGGGTACTCCCTGTGCATCTACATGCTTGCACCTCACAGCCGTCTCATGGGATGCAGTGCTGTTTATCGTCATTCTGGCCAGGTGACAGGTGGGGAGAATGAGGCAGAGAAGTGATGTTCCATGCTCACAAAGTTAAGCTTGAATTGGGAACTTAATCCCGAGTGGAGCAGCTGTGGTTGGAGCTGGTACCCGTTGAGGATATCCGTGTCATATGCAGGGGCTCAGTGCTCTATGCCGTGGTGCCGACGCCTGAAGTAACTGCTATCAATAGTGTTTGTTATTCAATATCAAGAAGACCACATTTTAGAAATGCTTTCCATTTATTCGCATCTTCAACAATGATCATTTTTGTAGATATTTGCACACTTTCATTATTATAATTTTCTCTTCATTGGTGCACCTAACTGCTTTGAAAAGTTTATTTTTCACTGGGTAGCTTAACTTTAACCTTAATCTTGGTTCCATAGAAAGCGTTGACTAAGGTTTCATTGGGTCGGGACTTTTGGCTGTGCAAGAGTCAGGACCAACACCTGTCTAATGTTATTTATCTCTGGGTCACAAATATGAGTGACAGATGCACTGCTTTTCCAGGGTGCCCTAATGCCATGCTTAGTGATGTACCTGGCTCGCCATTACAAAGCCTCTGTTTGTTTACCACTATAATTGAAAAGAATTCGCTTTTCATTTTAGTTCTTTAACTTGATTACCGTCTTGATGCCCCAGGCTTCTGTGTGGTCTTAAATTACATTTTTCTTTTGTGTTGCCCGACCTAGTCAGGTGTAGTGGCTGTATTTTATCTTATTATTTTTTTTTAAGACAGCAGAGCCAAGCATGGTTTTAAATTTTTTTCATGGTCCTAATTTTCATGATCAGTAAGTACTTGCAAAGGAGCCAGGATTTGCGTCTTGATCCACAAAGCCCAGAATGTTTGTTTTCTGCCCTTTCTTTGCTAACTCTCACATCTGTCTCGCCTGTTGTGACAGGTCCCTTGGAATTGTAAGGGTTGCCATCCTCCGTTGGAACACGTAGTTTCTTTTTCATTCTCTGTCAAGTGTATTTGTACTGCTTTATTTTGAAAAGATTTGTTTATTTGATTTGAAAACTAGAATGACAGGGAGAAACAGAGAGAAAGCCACACTGAGACAGCTCGGTCTTCCATTAGTTGTTTCACTCCCCAAATGGCTGCAGCCTTAGCAGGCAAGATTGACACCAGCAGCTAGGCACCCCTTAGATGTCTCTCACATGGGGATATGGGGCCCCAGTACTTGGGCCACCTGCTAAACTCCAGGTACATTTGCTGGTTTAGAACCCGTGCTTCGCTATGGGATGTCGGCATCCCAGGTGGCAGTTGCACAATTGCAGCTCTTACGTTTGACTCTTTTTTAAAAAAAAAAAAAATCTTTGTTTTAACTTTTAATTGATACATAATCATTGCACAGATTTAAGGGTGCAGCATGACAATTCAGTGTGTACTTGACTTGAAAAAAATACCGATTTCTTTTAATCTTTATATACAGTCTGTTTTCAGAATGTAATGGCGTCTTGGCTGGTGTTTTATTAGCTAATATCCCGCTGATGTTTTGTTTCCCTGCCAAAGACCGTGGGAAGCAGTTTTATGTGCCTCTCTTCTGCCCCTCCTCGCATCTTGCAGGATGATTGGTGGGGTCTTCTTTTATGGCGAGGTAACTGCCCCAAATCATGTAGCTTGCAAGTGGCACCATGTTACGGAATATTTCTTACAGGACTCCAAAGCTGGGAACACGTGAAAGAGATCTCCAGGCTCAATCCTACATATTGCAAGTTTACCCTCAAAAATATTCTCCACCAAAGTAACAGCTTTTCATTGAAGTGTTTTTATTAGTGTCTCACCAGTTTTCATTGCCCAAAATTGAGTTTTGCTGCTCCTGTTCTGAAATTTAACAGATTGTTACTACATTGAGGCTGCAACGCATCAGCTGGAAGTGTAGCCATCATGCAAAGACAGATTGCTCGGAATTGGTCACATTGGCTGTCACTATGTTCTCCCTTTTGTGTGCTTGCTTTGCTCCCTGGCCCGGGACCCTGCTTTCCTGGTCCTGCAAACTTTGTGCTTAACACTATGCTTGACTGTAGTGGGCACCCTGCTAATATTAGTGAAGCGAGAAGTTCAAGTGTGAAGTTCATCTTTGTGTAGTGGGGCATCCTGTTGGACTTTGGGTTCCCCTGTTTTGTCTCCAGCTTTCCTTTTGTTATTAACCATGTATCTTTTTTTCATGAGATAGACTGGTTAAAGTCTCCTGATGCAATCTATAATTGTATGTGGTCAGATTCTGATTCTTCCCAGAACAATTCCTTCCCAGCTCCCTTGCAGCCATCTTCTGTGCTGTGTTTTTGCTAGGCCCTTTTGTTTTTTTCCATCTAGCTGTTCTGATTGCAGATATTTTCTTGAGCTTCCGTCCAGTCCTCTGTCTACTATGAATTCCTCCCCACAGTCAGTCATCATTAATAAGAGTCAGTGCAGCAAGAGATTGACTCCCATAGCCTCAGTTGGCTAGCATGGTGAGTGTGGCTCCTTTATGAGAACAGTAGCTTTAAACTTTAAGTTGGCCATCTGCACTTCCCCCAAGACATGGCTGCACTCTGGTTAGGATCCTAGAGTGGGTAGCCAAGCTCCTTTGGATTTTAGTTCACACAGCGCCTAACTTCACTGTGTCTCATTTTTTTCATGAGAGTTTATAACATTATTGTGTGTAAAGTGCTGGATACAGGAAAAACCTGATGATTGCCAATGCTGTGTAAATGACTTGCTATTACTGTTTATTGATTTTTGAGCTCTTCTGGCTGTGCATCTCTGCCCCATAACCATGCTACACTTACTAACATTGAGCTTGGTGATCTGGCACTGTGCCTTCTGACTTCTCCTCCTCGTGGCTGGGAATCTCAGTGTCTCCTTGGTCTTAAGTAGTTTGATACGTTCACATTTGTGGAAGAAGGAGCTGCACTTGACTGTCGGTGGTCGGGCTTGGAGTTGCTGTTCTCTCAGTCATGCCCTCTCAGGTGGCTGGCATGCAGTGACACAAAGGATAACATCAGTAGTTGCTCCTTGAGTCAGCCACGTGTGGGCAGCTGTTCCCTCTCCATGATCCTCCAGGCAGAATGGATATTGAAACTGAGAAAGCAGATTGTCCAGTTTGGAGCAACAGTGTGCTCTAAATGGTTAACGCAGTTGAAGTTAGAAAGGCAGATTAGCTTATAAGGGAAATAGCACGAGATATCAGTCCCTAAAGAAAGGGGAGAGCTAGGAGGGCCAGCGTTGTTGGTTAGCGCAGTGCCTTAGTTACCTATGGAGATGTCAACAGTGAAATGTCCAGAATGGTGCTGCTAGAGTGATTCTTCCTGTTTCCCTTTAGGATTTGACAGGCTCTGAACTTTATACCCAAGTGGCCAGCCTCCTGCATCCTGTGGTTTACACGACTGCTGTCATTCTCCTCTTATGTCTTCTGGTGGTCATCGTCAGCTACATATACCATCACAGGTAAGAAGTCCAATTTGGTAAATCTGTGTACTGTGATTTGGAGGCTGGGAGCTTAGTTCACCTTTAATTAACGTAATCTCATTGTGAAGATGAGCACTGTAGAATGCATACAAACTTGATTCAGTTCCTGCCATCAGAGGCATGAATAATTAGTGCATGTGATGGTGAATTCATCTCCTGTGGCCTTCAGTCAGTTTGCTGTCTGTGTCTGGAAACTCAAAGCTGAGGGGAGGTGGTCCCGGGAACAGAAAACTGTATGGGAAGATTCGCTACTGGAAATGTGTGTAGGTTTGAAACTATGCCAATGGTTTTATGACTGTTTTTGCCTATTGTGATGTTCTTAATTTACAGGTGACATTTTTAAGAAAACATGTGGCATTTAAGTATGGGGTATAGTTTTACTAATTGATGGCAAACCTATGGAAACTTTATTTTATGGTAGGAATAAAGAACTAAAAGAATTTGCTAAGCAAAATTGACTTTACCAAAGGTTTTGCTTGAATGTATTTTCCTGTTTAAGCCAGGAGACTTGTGACATTTCTTGACATTTAGTTAAGAAACAAAAGCAGGTTTTGATACAAAGGAAGAGTCCAGTGTTCCCTGGGAAAAGCTGGGAAGAAACTCACTGGACATGTAGACCAGGTTGCCCTAGTAAGTCAAGAAAAACACCCACTGGTACTTGCAAATTGGTACAGGTAGCCAGGCAGGCAGTGGAATATAAGACACTGCAGGTGACCAAGTCCACATGGATCTGATGTGGAGAACGTGCATAAACTTGCCTTGGTTCATAAAGTAGTCTTTTTGAATATAATTTTTTTATAAGAAGCTATTGTGTTAGGTGCAGGCCAGTGGTGCAATGGGGAACGCATCTGACTACGGATCAGAAGATTCAAGAAGCTATTATGTTGCGCATAATTCCTCAAGTCCTACATGTGATTATATGTTTGTTAAATAAAATGTTTAAATAGAAACTTAAATTTATTTAAATTTGGCTTTTTGCGCAGGTGGAATTGGCTTGTAAGTGGACATGTTAGTGCCTTACCCCGAATGCACCAGGTCGAGTGTTAATCCTCACTTTGTCCTCCTCCCTCTTTGACAGTTTGATCAGGATCAGCCTCAAGAGCTGGCACATGCTCGTGAACTTGTGCTTTCATGTCTTCCTGACCTGTGTAGTCTTTGTGGGAGGAATAACTCAAACCAGAAATGCCAGCGTCTGCCAAGCAGTAAGTCAAACTTTAAAGACTGAAAAAGAATGATATTGCAAAATAATTTCTGATGTTTCATTAGCTGTAACAGTGACATAGTTAATTGGTATATTTTATGTCATTTCATCACTGAACGTGTAACTCGGACAACTTGCCTTTTTTCATTGTGAAGTCAGTGTATCTGATATGTCTACTGCAGTACCTAATATGTAACTTTATAATTTTATAAAATTCTGACCTTTATTAAAACTGATATTTTCAGATAGTAAAATGTTAAAATTAGTTCATTCACCAGTAAAAACAATAGAAACTAGAGCAGATTTTGGTGTAATGTAAAAATAGGAAGCTCATCAGGTTTGGTAAGTATGAGGAATTACATTACACTCAACTCTTTTTTCTAAATAAATAATTGTGTATTATTGGAATATAAGTATGAAAAACTGAAACTTCAAGATAGGAATATGAAATAGGTGAAATTGCTGCAACTATTTGTATGTTGTTTTCCCTATGCCTGATAGCATAACTGGATGCGGTAATTAGGAATCGGACTCCCTGAGTTTGGGTTTCGGTTCTGCCGTTTACTAGATCTTTCTGTGGGAGGTTTTGTTGTGGATTGAGTGCTTTAAATAAAAGTGGCAGTGGAAGATGGCAGTGTTAGCCTTCTTTGACTAGCTTACTTAATTCAGCGTGGTATCACAGAATTTTATAAGCTTTTCATTTTATGGCTGGAAAGTATTCTATTTCCTGTATACAGTGTGTTGACTTACTCCCCTGCCATAGACACACAGATTGTTCCTGCCTCTTGGCTGTTGTCCACGGCACCGCAGTGAACGAGAGTGCAGGTGTCTCTTTGTGATCATGGTTTCAACATGTCATCCGTTTGTGACTTAGTTTTCTTGCCTGTATAGTGGGAACCATGACTGACAGATCAGGTGGTTGTTAATATTTTAAAATAGTAATTTACACATCCATAAAAGTCATTGGACATATTGCCAAAGGCACATATAATGCAAAGGTTTGCTGCTAGTAATGTGCACAAATGCATATGTTTTATCTAATATCAAAGACTGCCAAGTATCTAGGATAAGCAAAGATGTTTCTGCAACAGGTAAAATTACATGTGAATAAGAGCTAAAGAAGTGGAAAGGTAGACTGCTTTCAAGGATGGAAAGAGTTAATAGCAGACGCTGGGAAGTTCTTTTTAAAGTAATCTTTAAATGGAAAGAGAACTAATTTGAAGATTTTTTTTTTCAATATATATGAGAGTAAAGGGTCAAGGGGAAGATATTTGCAAAAGAGAGGAGCCCAGCAGCAGGAAGGTTGTCTTACTTGGCAGCAGGGCTGAGGAGGCTGTGCAAAGGCGCCTGGGCTGCACTCACTACTGGGGTCCATGCAGTCACTGCCCAGCACAGCAAAGAGGGTGCAGAGGCAGAGCCACAGTGAGCTGTGGTGCGTGCTGGCATGCAGCGGCCAGGGCGTGTTACCACGAAGAGACAGAGCTGGGGAAAAGACACTCAGAGAAAGCTTAAAATGCATCTGTATCCTATGCTGTGTTAAAAAAAAAAAAAAAGAGTCAACTTAGGTTGAATTAAGACTTAAAAAGCTGAAAACTTCTTAGTGGAAAACGTCATGGTGCTTGAGACAAGAGATTTGAGACAGTGCAAGGCAGTCATTAGGAAAGAGGCACGCTTCACTGAAATATCGAGTAAAAAACAAATTCTAAATGGAAAGAAGCTATGCTTGCAGCCATGTGCAGGCAATTGATACTTGTACAGAGAAATGGAATTAAAAGATGAACCCACTTCAGTACAAAGGTGTTTTAGAATCCACATAGTTGTTTTTCATAATTTTTATGAACTTCTTAGAGGTCTCGTATTCATGGTTTCCGAAGTTTTTGCACGAAAATGTCTCTTTTATTGCTATTTTGCCATGAGCTTTGTGAAATTTTCTCATACTCCTGACGGAGCACTAAAATGAAAGCTTATCGCTGACCATCGTCTGGGAGAAGACCAAAGACAGTACTGGCGAGGTATCTGCGGGTGCACAAACATTCTTCATAGAGTGAAGCCCCAGGGCCTACAGTGCTCAGAGAATCAGCACCATAAGTGGTCACACAGCTACCCAGGAGAAAAATCAAAATCCATTGCTGTCTTTTGCCTTTATGAGAGCAAAATATAAATAAGCGCAGCAGTTTCAAAATACATGAACTCATGTTGCCTCTAACATTATTGGCAGAAAGGTAACTGGGAAACTTTACCTGCGTCACTTCCACGCTCTGGGGTCCAGACATTATAACTTCTGGGGTGATAAGTATAACCCTGCCTGTGTGCATCTGTATGTTTCCATGGACATAAATATTCATAGCTCCATAGACAGCATCAAAAATCTTGGAAACAACCCAAATACCCATCTTGCAGAGAGGGAATGAGTAAACTGTGCTGTTATACAGTAGTCGGAAGTAATGAGTTATGGCAAGCCAGAACAATATATATGGGTCGGGTGAGAAAAGCTGAATTTCATAAATTCTTGTGTATATATATATATATATATATATAATATGAGATTTGTTTATTTTATTGGAAAATCAGATATACAGAGGGGAGAATGGAGAGAGAAAGATCTTCCATCTGCTGATTCACTCCTCAGTGACCGCAACAACCAGAGCTGATCTGATCTGAAGCCAGGAGCTTCTTTCCGGATCTCCCATGCAGATTATAGGGTCCCAAGGCTTTGGGCTGTCCTCAACTGCTTTCCCAGGCCACAAGCAGGGAGTGGGATGGGAAGTGGGGCAGCCGAGTCATGAACCGGTACCCAAAAGGGATCCCGGCGTGAGCAAGGCAAGGACTTTAGTTGTTAGGCAACCACTTTAGGCCCCTAAGATAAAGATAAAAATAAAATAAACAGTACTTTTTTGTATTTAAAAAAGTCACCATTTACTAGACCCAACACAAGGGTATGAAAAGAGGGAAGAAGAAGGTCGCAGAATTGAACAGAATGAAGTCTGAGACAAAAATCAGAAATACATAAATGCTGGTCTTTAAATTTTTCCGTTTCACATGCAAGTATATAAGTGGATCATTTATCCTTTAGAAAACTGGGGGGAAAAAAGCAGACTTGTTTGGCTGAAATGAAAGCAAAAACTAAACTAAAATTTCCCCACAAACCAAAATCCATGGAGAATTCCCATTTCTGTTCAGATACCTGTCTACTGACCACAGAGTGAGAATCTTCTACTCAGTGGGTACAGAGCACCCAAGGGTGGCCAGCCCCCAGTGTCTCTGGATCACAGTCCATGGGAAGTTAGGGTGAATCCTGGGGGCATGGGCAGTCTGTCCAGTCACTTACTGGCCACTTGGCAAACATCAGACTGTGCTCTCACCAACCCCCATGGTTCCACAGAACTGTCTGGAACTGCTAGTGCTGGGTATGCAGTGGGAAGAGCCCATGAAACACAGAGAACCAAATGTGACTGCAAGGGTTACAAATCCAGGGCCAAGGAGAGAGGCAGAAGAAAGGGCCCTGTTGGGAGCTGGAATGGAAAGAGCAAGGCTGACGACCTTGTGTTTTATGAAAGTAGGTAGGTGGGGTGAAGCCCCAGAACAGGGATATTAGGCAATAGGGTATGTATGGTTAGATACAGGTTAACCTCGAGGTCTTGATGGTAGCGTCTCAGACACTTCCAATGTTATTAAAAGTAATTCATTAAATAAATGAAGCAAGCTGTTTTCCATTCAGTCTTAGATATGTCGTGAATGTCAGAGGGACTCTTATTTTTTTCAATATCTATTTTCTTATTTGAAGATTGGAGTTATGTGGGGGGACGGGGGAGGGGGGAGATACCAAGATCTGTTGATTCATACCTGTAGTGGCTGTAAAGCCAGGGCCGGGGCAAGCTGAAGAAAGGAACCAGGAGCTTCTTACAAGTCCAATGCAGAGTAAACTGGCCAAACACTTGGGTCATCTTGCCCTGCTTTTCCCAGGCTGTTAGGGAGCTGCATGGGAAATGGGGCAGCCAGGACATAGACCACATCCTGGATGCCAGTGTTGTAGGCAGTGATTTTGTTTGCTATGCCACAATGCCAATCCATTAATTTCCCCCTCCCTTTAAAGTTATTCCTTTAAAAAGCAGAGAGATGGCAAGGGAAGGACTTTCTATCTACTGATTCGCTTCCCAAATACTTGCACCAGTCAGGACTGAGCCAGGTTAAAGCCAAGAACCTAGGATTCTATCCTGGTCTCCTACATGAGTGCCAGGGACCCAGGTTCCTGGGCCATCAACTGCTGTCTCAAGGTGTGCATCTGTAGGAAGCTGGGATCAGAAGAGGAGATGATATTGGAGCCCAGACACTTCCCCATGCCTGCTCAGCAAGCGTAGACACTGCAAATGGCATCTTAAGTTCTTCACTAAGTACCCACTTCTGGTTGATGTTCAAAAGAAACTACATGTTCCCATTCGTCGAATGAGTCCAGATGGTCTCCAAGGGCTGTTTGGAAGCTGTTGTGCAATGCCCACAGAAAAGGTTAGAGTTCAGGCAGGGGTTTCTCTACTTAGGCAGAGATTGTGGGCAGTCCTTAGTGAATTGCTTCAATCGCTTTTGTGTTTACTGCCAGTGTTAGCCACTCAGGATCCATCTAGAAGGTTCAGCCATTCTGGGTTCATAGATCCAATGAAAGACTTGGAGTTAGATGACCCAACAGTCTGGAGAAGAGCAGACCAGAGTGGACTCAGTAATGGCTATCCAGCGTTACTAGGAGTGGGGCATTGTTGATGAGAATACCCTTCGGCATTGTGGTATATTTGTGTTTGGGGCCAATATTAAACATTAGAAAACAAACTTCTGTTTGGAGTCTACAATAAGTCCGAAAATGCACCTTCTTCAGTGGCTCCCACTTACTTTCTGCAGGGTCTCTGTTTTAGGATTCTCTGTCTCACCTCCTGCTATTTCTGATGCTTATGATGCCCTGTAATATCTACAGAACCTTACAATTTGCTGTTGATTGTCTCTGGCTTCTGATCT